TGTGCCAAACATGTACACAAGGGCAGAGAGTAAAACAGAATACTGAAAGGGCAAGGTTTGCCAAGTAGGTAGGAAGAGGAATGCTTCCAACTTTGGAAGTTCAACACTGGAGAATGTTAAAACCAAAAGCTGCTACCGGTCCTGTGGGAGAAGGAAGATCTGTAACTTAAGAAATTGCTCAGTGGAGTTACTGACAGCTTAGCCATGTCTCAGGGAAGATTAGAACACTTAAGATTTAATGACAGATTATGTTAATTTTCAGAATGTTCAGTTTGTCCAGGAATTTAGATGCAATCTTTTCATACATCTTGCATAGTCCTACAAGGCAAGTTCTGTCTGTATGTGAAAATTAGGGGTTTTAAGAATCAGGTTGTACTAGGATGGAGTTTGTTAGATTCATTTTCAATGCTGCTTAAATTAATGGAGTCTATGAGTTGTTTTGCATTTGTGAGTTGTTAGATATTTGTTCTTTGTGAGAAGTCAGAGAGGATCTGTTAAAAATCCTGAGCCAGCAGGAGTAAAACAAACACAATCTTTTTTTAGTATTCCAACATCACGATACTGGAATATCTCACTTGAAAAGTGCTACCCTAAAGTAACCTCCAACAGCTTTGTATTTCTTCCAGCAGCTATAGCAAATTCAGCTTCTAATGCTTTAACTTCAGCTTCAGTCAAAGGTTTGATGCAGAATGACAGTCCCTGTTCTGAAAATGTATTGATTAAATTTCCTGGGAGTTTTGTTTAACCAGCAACATTAGAAAACTTCAGTGTTAGTACTAAATGTCATGAAGAGAGGCATTTTGTTTTATTGATATCTTTTGCAACAGTATTGACTGTTCAGTTTGTACAACTGAAACCTGAGATTGGGAATAATTCTGCCTTCTACCCCTCATATGTACTCCAATTATGATAAAGCTTGAGCATGCTTACTGTTGATGAGTTCTATTTACTTACACTACACCAAATTAAATAGCAACAAGATGTGTTATGTGCAAAACAACCACCGCTGTTAGAAAATGAGGGCTTCCTGAGCTGGACCTTCAATGTACCAGGTCTGTGGTCACTCCACTGTAGCTTTGTGGATCTTCGTGCTGCCAAACCACTTTCTGCTGGTCCTGTGTCTGGTCCAGAGCATTGCAGCATCACAACAGATCTTACGGGAGCTGTGGAGTTCAGCGCAATATTATTACAATTTATATAGCAAAGTCACACAGCATGTCCAAATTTTCCTCTTGAGCTGAATTTTTAGCTTCTTGGCTGTTGTAATATTAATCTCTTCATGAGAGGAATACTTCAGAACAAAATACCCCATCTTTTGCTTACTATATGTCTTTTAGAAATCGGTGTATTTCAGACTCTTAGTTGAAGTGTCTTTGAAGATATCTTGGGCATTTAAGGGGGTTGTAATCTTGAATGCTAAGTTTCATGGGTGACAGTTCAAAAATCTTTAGTTGAAAAACCTATTGATTTATCAAAACTAGGCTGTGAAACTTATCTCAAGTTAGCACATAGACTAGAGAGGTCAGCACATTCCAGAGAAAGGCATTTTTCAGGTATTCAGATTTGTTGTAACAGATAGGAATCACCCCACGCTTGAGTTTCATAGAGAACTAAGACACTTGTGTTTCAGAACTGAACCTACCTTTCATTTCTTGGTACATTTGGAAAACTGTGTGTGCTTTCCCAGTGCTGTTTATCACAGTTTCCCCTTCAAAGCACACAACATCTGGGCACTACAGGAGCCCTGCATTTCTGTGACTTTTAATCAGCTACAGCTCCACTGTAGTGTAGGCTTTGTCATGTTTGATATTTGGTAAAGACATACTATATTTATGTTGTGGTACTGGGTGATTTTAGGTATTTGATTATCAGATTTTCCATATGCTGCAAATGCAATTCTGCAGTTGGTAATACATGTAAGATCAGTTGTAATAATAAGCAGTACGAAAGGAGAAGAGATGAGTCAAGAGAAGAACAGAACAAGGGGGCAAAGAACCACCTAAAAATAAGTACTTGGGTTTTTAAAAATTATTATTCTTATCACTTAGCTTTTGTGTTCAAGGGTTAACAAACCACTATAACTTGTTACCTTTTTCCAACATTCTGTCTGACCTCCTACATCTGCAAACACACACACACACACACACACACAAAATTAAGTATCTAAAATGTAACTTCTTAATTCCTCTGTTAAATCCTTTAGGGATATCCTGTGGCTCAACCTTTTGTCTGAAGGTCAAGAGAGTTTTATTCATCTGACATAAGTAGCTTGAGTGTGGCATTTATAACCTGAGTAATGTTATGGATGATAACACCATTAGACATTTTTACAGCTTCAGCAGGAGTTCAGCCAGCAGGACTATCAGGCTGATAAATGCTTTCATCTTAAAGGTTGTATTGCTACAATAACCCTGAAACTTAAAGCTGCTCCTTGAAACCTACAGCCTGGCTGAAGAGATGAAGTGTGCCCTCTGATATTTCTAGGTTGCTAAAGAGCTCTCTCAAGTTCCAGTGCAAGAATTAAGATGCTGACATGCAGCTGCTCTGAACTGGAAATTACTGAGGACTTCATAATTTTAAATTATTTGGGGGCAGTGCTACTCAAAAGAATTAGCTTTAGATTGAGATGAGACTGAACTGTTGAGTGATGAATTCAAAGATTTTGTTCCTATACCCAATTATAAAATGTTTCTGCAGGGTTTTAGAAGGCAGACTCTTGTACTGCTATTTTCAGAAACAACAGAGGCTCACCTCCTCTGTCTGGGTATTTGCTGTTAAAGAACTTCTTGTAGGCTAGTTAGAAACTAATCTCTAGTAGTCTGAGAGTGGTGTGAGAAGCTAGCAAGTGACAACTGGTAGGATTTTGCCTTTTTAAAAGTTTGTTTTGTTGAGATCAGAGAGTGGCTGTGTTTTGAAAATGAATAGTGAAAGTGGCTGTGCACTGATCATGCATGTGAAAGCAGTGGAAATAATGAACAGTGTGAAACCAGATGTGATGATACAAGTGGAAGAAGAATAGAATAAGATCTCACAAAGGAGGATAGTGTGAGATGAACAAAGACTGAGTTCTTGGTTTTACATCTAAGAATAGTATTCTGAGGCTGTTTTAACCCAGCAACTATTTCACACAAAAATATTTGTAACATGTAATGATTATAGTTAAGGCAGCCAGATACTGATTTTTTTCAATATTCTTGATAATGGGAAACAACTCCATTGTTTTTCTTAAGATTTTCATTACTTTATGGTAATTCTGTTAAATTGCCATTCTAAGTTTACAACTTTCATTACGTTGATCATAAAAAGAACTCTAGTATTTTTTGTTTGTTTGTTTGGTTTGGTTTTTTGTTGTTGTTTGGTTTTTTACTAACACTTAAGAAGCCACACTTCCTTTCTGAAACTTTCAAAAGTGCAATAATGACTACTGCTTCCTAGGAGACTACTGTTATATAAGACTGATGCAATACACAATTGCATGCTTCAGGTCTGATACAGCCTCTCAGCAGGAAGATAGAAAAGAAGACCTCTGACAGCAGAGGTCACCGAGGGCGATTGCAGGCTTTGAGCAACAGCTGTACATGGAGATCCTACGTAGGCTGTGATTCTTCAGCTTGGGAAAGAGATGAGTAGGGAATTACATAATAGAGGTCTGTAAAATTGTGACCAATGTTAAGAATGTTATTAGGGAACAATTATTCATGTTTCTTTCAGTATAAGGAGCTAAAGGTTGCCAAATGAAATTATCAATTATCAGTGAAGATGGATTGTGGGGTTTTTTTTTGTTGTTGTTGAAAGCTATAGGAGTGTGCAGGGGACATGCTTGCTCAGTGCATCCTGTTCTTTTACTCTTTTCCAAACACTTGACCACTCTCAAAAGTAAGATACAAGGCTTTGTGAGTTTCTGATCTGGGCATATAATTGTTAGAACCCTAAATTTACAAGTACTGGAAATAGGTGGTACACTGGAGAGCAAGTGTAAGATTTGACCTTCCTTTTAGCTTCATTTTTAATGCTGGCTAGTTTTCAAGCTGATGGGTGCTTTTAAACTTGCTTTAAAGTGTATTTGCCTCATACAGAATTATGTGATGGCAGCAACAGCCTTGGCTAATGCATTTATTGCTTTAGGATTTATTAGTCCTTATTTCCTGATTTTTCTGTTAAAATTAATCAAATATGCAGGAACTTAACTTTCTTAAATCCTCAAGAAGAATTTATTAAAAAAGAAATTGCAGATTCCAGTCAGTCTGACTTTGGTCTGTGATTGGCTATGAACTAGTTTAAAGGCAAGAAAAAAATTGGGTTATCCATTTTGTGTTTGAAATGGTGGGTGGAAGCTCTTCTCCTCTCTTCCTGGATGTGCAGCACATTGCCTTCCCCTTGGCCTATGATAATCTACTTCCAGCTAACTGATCATACTGCTTTTGGTTTTTTTAGGTTTTTGGGGTTTTTTTTCCATTCTCCTACCTTCTTTAGCTCATCAAATGAATAACCTGTCCTTCTCTATTTGGCTTTCTATTTCTCATGAACCATTTGAAATCTCTGCCAGGACCTCACTTTTGTCAGCTGTGTCTTTTCTTTTGATATTGTTAAGACTGATGCACACCTTTTCTACCACCAGGTTTGGGAGTTTTTGTATTATACAAGAATACTTAAGAATCTTGGTAGCCTTTCTGACAACTCACTTTAATTGTGGTAATGATCAAGTTCAAATGAAGTGTAGTGTCTCATATTAAAGTGAATGAAATGCATCCACCATGAAACATTATTTGCTCACAGATTTTACAAACTTACATGTAGACTCTGCTGCTTTAACTTCATTCTTTACGTTCATCTTTGCCAGGTCCTGTTCTAGCACCCTTTCACATCCATGACTGCTTTGTTTTCAGTTAATTTCCAGGGTAGCTAGTTAATTACAAGATGTATTTGAAGGGTGATATTTGTATCCTGTGTATCCTGTGGCTGACATTTGGCAGGCCTGAGGGTTGTTGTGTTATTTTCAGGTACTGTTTGGCACTGCTGATGGACAAGTTATCGTCATGGACTGCCATGGGCGAATGCTGGCCCACGTGCTCCTCCATGAGTCAGATGGCATCCTCAACATGTCCTGGAACTACCCCAGCTTCCTGGTGGAGGACAGCAGCGAGAGCGACACGGACTCCGACGACTATTCCCCACCACAAGGTAGGGTTATGTGCACATCCTTCTGTTTCAGCTTTGCATGTGCTCATGAAGACATCTCACATGCCAGGGCCATGTCATGCCCTACAAAACCAGCAGGGTGGCCACAATTTCAAGCTCTCTTGGAGCAGAGAGCTGGTATGGGAGAGTGGGTTTGTTCCCAGCTCTGCCACCAGCCTTGCTGCAGGTCATACCTCATTTGTGCTGCTCTGCCTCTGTTTGCACAAATGAGATAACGACACAAAGCTCGATATGTTTTCAGTGAGGGTGAGTGAAAAACAGTAGACAGGGACATGTCAGGTTTCACTGATAAGCAGATATGAGGTATCGCAGTGGTTTGTGTGTATGGAGGTACAGAGTGCAGCCACAGAAATTAATGCACTATTATATAGATTCATGTGAAAAGACAGCAGTACTAGACATGGTGTAAAGTACTATATATTTAGTTTTATCTCTGTTTTGTAGGATTTCTGTAATGCTCATCATTACAGTCCCATCCTTCATAGTCCTGACATAAAGAGTTCCATAAATACTGCAGAAGGCTCAGAAATGAAGATATTTCCTGCAATTACACAGGGTAGAAGCAGGGTGACTGGAGTTGGCTGGAGTTATTAATTCACATGCTTCAGAGCACACTGCCAGTTTGAGAGTCAGGAATAAACCCTCCCCTCTCCTAAGTTTCAATACACCTAGTTTGATGAAATATTTTTGTTTTAAAATCTTTGGAAATCATCAGTAGTGAAGACTTATAAGGCCTAGGTGTCCATGCACAGTCTGTCCCACCCTTCTCATTCAAGTAATAATAATACTTCCTGTTGATGTGCTTGATCAGTTTATAAGCTCTAGGTAAGCTGTTCCTGTGTTCCAGTGTATAAAGCCTGAACTACATTAAGAACTAAGTTTATATAACAGTCAGTGATTGTACAGTGGAAATTTTAAATACATAACAATTATTCAAAAATAATTCTGAATTTGCATCTTGGATCTGAACCTCTGAATTGAGGACTTTTGCAGTTTTAACTCTTAATTTGGATTCAGACCAAAAGATATACCTTTTCCAGTATGTGTCTATATAATAAGATTGTTTTTAACAAATATTGAAAGATAATATCTGATCACCTGGTAAATGTTAGCATATTTTAAAACTGAATTTTGTTTTGGCTTTCATGTCTCTCTTCTAGTACTGGGTAAGATTTCTTACCCTAGAAGGAAAGAAAGAAATTTCAAACTTGCTCCTAAAGCAAGACAGACAACAAAAATAAATTGGATTTTTGTTGTGTTTTTTTTTAAAAATACTGAGGTTCCAGTTGGAGGATGGCGAAATTGCAGAGTACACAGATGAGAGCTTAAATGATCCAAATGTGTGTTTAGCTTTTTCTGAGTCAGTCAGGGGAGTGGGTGGACTCGTTACAAGCCTATTTTAATGATTACCCAAACATAATGTGTTTTCTTTAGAGCAGATGCAGCATAAACCTCTCAAAGGTGACAAGCCTTTGACTCACACAGATGTGTAGGAAGGACCAGAAGTTTGTTGGGATTTTCTTATTAAATTATATACACACAAAGGTGCCAGTTACTAGACATCTTTATCCAAAATGCTTTCCTATCAGCTTTTTTACAAGTTCAGGAAACAATACTACTCTTAACTGGTTCTGCCATTTTTGTTGACTGGAAAGATGTTGGCTGGGCCTTGACAGGCACTTAATCAGGGACCAGTGGCATCTCCTCTCAGAAACTGTGAACAGGAGTTAAACACCAAAATCTACAGATGGCAATATTGATCATGAAGTATTTGATTGAAGGAATTTTAGTGAATTGCTGAAAAACAAGCTCAGAGGACCAGAGACTTTGCAGAAATGGTTTTTAAAGCCAAGTGTTCCTTTTGGGCTCATGTCTACTTTTGGGTGCATTGGATCCTGTTATGTAGAATGGCAGGTGTCTTTTCATGCTACTGCCTAGACGTTTAGTAATTTGTGAAAGGTCAGTATGTTCTCTTAGAAGTTCTTAAAATGTCTCTGTGTGACTTCAGGATGAGTCCCTGGTACCTACCCAAGCAAAAAGGGTACAGAACAAATTGCTTTTAATGTCCTTATATTGTTCATCATGCTGACTTTCAACTGGGGTTCCTAGAAAGTCTTCTAAGGCACTGGTTTTCCATTTCTTTGTCACTTTGAAGTCTTGAGAAAGACTGAAAAACACCACTATGTAAATTAATAGTATGCGCATAAATCACTGTGGATATGTGCAGTAAAAATTGACAAAGTAAAAGCACTGAGGTTTCACAGAAATGGAGAAGCTTAACTAGCTAAACCTGCTTTGCTTGTGCCCACAGATGTTGCAGAAATAAACCGGTAGGGAGGCTTGGAACAGCTCCTGATGGTGGTAGGCTGAAGTACAGTGTGTTTCAGCCTGGATGTGATTATTTTTGGTTGTTCACCTTTTGCTCACTCAGAGCCTTGTTTTGCAGATGGACCAGCTGCCTATCCAGTGCCAGTGCAGAACACCAAGCCACTGCTTACTGTCAGCTTCACGTCAGGAGACATCAGTTTAATGAACAATTATGATGACTTGTCTCCTACTATCATCCGCTCAGGGTTGAAAGGTACAAAAAAGAAGCCATTTCACCCTCTCCTATGTCCTGTTTTTCTTGCATTTTTGATAATGTGTGCATAGGTTACATTTTTGTGCCTCTCACTCCTTAACCCAGGAGCCCTCAGCACTGTTATTGATGTTTCCAGCAGTGACATCTGCTGGAGGAAGAGCAGCTCTTGGCTGATGGAGTTTTTGTGTTTGAAAAAATGCTTCACAATATTTTTGAGATTGTGTTTTTGTGGCAGTTGTGTAGGGCAACTGATCTGTTTTGCAGTTTTCCAGCAGAATGCATTAATATGATTATATTTTTTTGCGTGAATGTCTCTGTTATGTCACACTTTCTTTGCATGTCTAACTCACAAGGGCTTCCATGCTTTTAATAACCTGGTATAAATTGCAGTGCTTCTTTGGTTCTCACAATTATTGAAAACTTGCTGGAATTATTAATTGTCAAGAGGCAAGTTATTTTGAGAGAGAAAAAATCCCAGTGATTAATTACTATACATTTTGCTAAGTGATGTGCATGAATGTTTGTACAATCAGTATTCCATGTAAAATCTTTAACTCACATTGAAATTTTTACTGTTCTTGCCTATTAAAATGTCCTTTACTTTGCCAGCACTCTCTGTGCAATTTACTGTGCTTTGCCTGCAGAGTTATTTCAATTCAGTACAGCACACAGGCACATGCTTAAATATAGGTTCCACTGAAGCTTTTTCATCTTCACAGGTAAATTAGTTTTAAATTAGATGAAAAGAGAATTAGGCTATTGGAGAAAACTCTTAGCTGTTCCGAAATAGTGGGATGTTTTTGGTGAAAAGTTGTCCTAACACCAGCCCCACAGTTTTTGGGTGATCTGATATGTACAGTAGTCTTGGGAGGTAAAAACATCACCTTTGAGGTTTCTTTTCTGTTCCCTTCTCCATCTGTGCCAACACAAGAAATGTATGAGTGACAAAACACAGCATTGTGAGACAACCCTACAACCCAGAAACCTTCATCAGCTGAAAGGTTACCAAAAGTGTGGAAAACTGGAGCCAACTTAAAGAAGCTCTTGTGATAATCACCAATGGATCTACTCAGCATTTCTGAATACAATACAATATTAGAGTAATTAGGGTACTGAGCAGTCTTGAATTGTCATCTAGTCTAGCTTTCAGCTGGGAACAGTAGGAGAAATATCCCCAAGCTTAGAGCCCTGCAACTCTAAACAGAGAATATCTTGCTGAGGATGTCTGTCCAGTTTCTCCTTCCCCACTGACTTTCACTAGTGCAAAAAAGATCCCTGAAGTATGTCACTCTCCTGTAGCAAAATATTAATGTGCTAGATAGGGTAGGAATATTTTTATTAGTTATAAGCTAGACTATATTTTTGTCATCAGACAAAATAGACAAAAAATATGCAGCTACTTACTGAATTGGGAATGTGTGTGAGACAGAGAAAGATGATTGGGATATTGCTGTCTGTTGTTTTAAGAAACAACAGTGTTGTTGTACAGTGGAAAGTATTTTATGTCTGGTTTTATCTAGATGTTCACATTTCCTGTATCTTCATCATTTTTTTCAAGTGACTCTAAATTTTACTGGGTTTTATCACAGGCAAGAATGTGCAGAATCACCAAGTAGGGTCTTCAGTATTATCTACAAGTCCTTGTTTGTGTGTTTGTGTTTAAAATGTCAAAGTATTGCTCTGTGATCTCTGCAGCAGATATCCTTGCCTTTATTGGCTGCTATAGGCTACTCAATGTATTTTTAAAGTAGGCAACTATGAAATTATTTCAAGCAGTAGCAATGTATTTTTAATATAGAGAGAATATATATCCTACTAGTTTTGCAGAGTTGTCATTTTACTGATAATATTTCTGTTAAATTGACAGAGGAAAAACCTTAATAATTTGATTACCCAAATAGAAGTTCTTTTGATCCAGTTTGAACAGTCCCAGTAGTTTTGTCAGTCCTAGTGGAGGCCCTGAATTGTTCAGATGCATCCCTTTTTTGTGTGTGTGCTTTGTAACTCTGTGATTCTCATTGCAGTGCTTCCTTAATTGTACTAGTTAGCCACAACTACTGCCTGAAGAGCTGTTGCACATTTACAGTGCTCTGTGTTCAAGGCTTGCTGATATACATGCCTGTGGTGGCTGGAAAGTAGTTTTGAGGGTTGACTGGTTCACTGATTCACTTGTAGACCTAAATGAATCCTCCATTTGATTTTTAATCTCTGTGCTAGTGCTGAGAACCTGTTCATGAGTTATTTTGTGTAAAGGTCCAGTAGTCATTGAAGATCCTGTTGGCAGTGCAAGTCTGTCAGTAGAGCCACACTGCCCTGGAGAGATGCTGCAGCCCATAGCCCATTTCCACCCCTTTGCTGCTTTTGCAGCAGTCTAATTCTAGAACTTTGAGAAAGAGAGAAAAAAACTGCTGGACAGCCCTCTTCCTCTTGTTATGGGGATCAGCTGAAAGTTTTACCTGAAGACATGTATCCAAAGGAGAGAGTTTTTTTCATTATGGTAGTTCCATAGTTATCCAGTTACAAAAAGTGGAGCTGATCAGCTTGCCTTGTTTATTTCTACTTTGCCTATCTTCTTCCTCTCCAAGAAGCATGAATTAAATCCCATTGTAGCTTACTTAGGGGACTGAAAACTAAGAGAAAACAAGAGGCATACAATGCCTGGCTGTGGAAGAATTACCTTGAGGAACATGCGGCTTCCCTCTGATATGTACAGAAGCATAATTCCCATGAGAAATATCAGAAAGTTGAAATAATACAAAAACCATTTTAAATTGCACATAAAAGTCTCTGAAAATGACAAGTTGACAACTTGAAACAATTTTGAGATCCTTCCTGCCAACTCTCATTTCTCTCTTGCTTCTTCATTTAAAGACAGCTTCTCGCCCACAAGTGTCTTCAAAGGGTTCTTGGCAGATTGAGCATCCCAGAGCACAAAAGTTATGCCTTTACCTTCAGTTTGTCTCAGCACAAAATAGCTGCCTTTCACCTCTGGTTTAAGAGTAAAAAGATTTAAAACTAGCTTGGTATTCCATGAACATGCAAATCTGCCTTTGGAACACAAGCAGAAATGCAAAATACTTTTTTAGAATTACTCCAGAAGGGTGACAAAGAACTAGAGGATATAAGGGTTTGAAATAAGCATCCCCAAATTAAGCTGTGGGCGTCCCTTATCATGAGGTGCCTGTAAGAGAAGTAACTGATATGTATATTCATATCCATGTATATGAGAGTCTGAGCAGTCCCTGTGTGATTCCAGCAAAGCCTTGCTAAGCACCTGAGTAGATTTTCACAAGTCAGAATCACAGAATCATTAGGGTTGGAAGGGGACCTCTGGGGATCAGCCAGTCCAACCCCCCTCCCCAGGCAGGGTCCTCTAGAACAGGTTACACAGGGACTTGTCTTGGTGGGTTTTGAATGTCTCCAGAGAGGGAGACTCCTCATCTCCCTGGGCAGCCTCTTCCAGTGGTCTGCCACTTTCAGTGTAAAGAAGTTCTTCCTCATGTTGAGGTCAAACTTCTTTGATTTAGATTATGGCCATTGTTCCTCATCCTGTCACTGGGCACCACTGGAAAGAGTCTGGCACCATCTTTTCTGCACAAACCTTTGAGATAATGAGATCCACTCTCAGGCTGCTCTAGACCAAATAAGTCCAGCTCCCTCAGCCTCTCCTTGTAAGAGAGATTGTGCAGAGCCCTCATCATCTTTGTGTGATGGTGGCAAAAGAAAACATATCATATGGAAGTCATATGTATTTATGGACAAAAGTCCAAGTAATTCTAGTTTCATGTTGTAACTCTAGTTTTGAGTTATGCTAAAAGTTACATTCATAGCTGTGAGAACATGAGACATTGCCAGATATTTTGCTTTTTTACATTTTAGGCCTTTCCAGACAAACACTCTTTGCTGCTTTCTTAGTAAGATTATTTATCTGCGCATTAACTTGATTCCACTTATTTCCTGCAAAGCTGTATGTAGGATCTTCCATATCAGTTTCAACATCTCTAGTAAATTCTTGTCCTTAGGTGTGTAGGGGCAGCTGTTGATTACAATCTAGACTCACCATAGAGTGAAAAGAATGTTGTTTACACATTTTATTTCAATTTACAAAATAGTCATTGTCAAAAGTGCATTTGTGGCATGTTTTCTACTATTTCAATGAAAGGATATAGATTTCTAAGTACTTAAGTAACTTTTGAGAGCATGTTTTATCTTTTCAAGTCACTTTGCAGCATCTGGAAATGGTGTTCCTGTTGTTTCTAGTCAGTGGTTACTGCAAACCATCTTTGTGATTCCAGATGTGGTGGTACAGTGGTGCACACAAGGAGACCTGCTTGCAGTAGCAGGCATGGAGAAGCAGAACCAGCTGGTTGACCTCAGCAATGGTTCCCTGCTGAAAAGCGCACTTGTCAAGTTCTACAACGTGCGGGGGGAACATATCTACACTCTGGAGACACCTGTGCAGGTAGGAGACATTTTTTAAAGTTGTTTTGCTGACATGTTTTTCCCACATTAGCTCATTGTTGTAGACCTGCAATGTGGAAAATGTTGCAAAATGTCCCAAATCCATCCTAAAACATAATTTAGATAAAATTGTGCTATAAACAATGGTTGTTTGCATTAAGGTAGACATGCAAGACTGCACCTGATTCTGAGGTCCTCTGTGCTAGGTATTGTGGAAATACAAAAGGTGAAAGTCTGTTTCCCAAACTCACTGGGCCATGAACAGACAGAAAAAGAAAATTCCATTGTTTTATGAATAAGTGAGTGAGAAGAAAAATACTGAATTACTTGCTTAATGTTGTAGCAGAGCCAAGAGCTGGACAAAAATGTTCCAAGTCCAGTATCATAACTACAAGATTATTCCGTTACTGTAATTATATAATGTACAGTCATTTGGTGTGATGCAGTAACCTCAGTCATGTAACTTGCCAAATAAATGCCAGTACGTGGTCTGTGAGCTGCTCAGGAGCACAACATGCTTCATACGTCTTTGCTGGTACTTCTGAGCCCAGCTTGAATGTAATTCTTGTGTTATTTTCTGCAGAATAGGGATGACTCCATTCTGACTTCTGCTGCTAGTAATGAAACATTATAATAGCTTTGAAATCTAAAAGTGAAGGAAAATGATGTAGATATATTAATTATATTTAATGATGATACCATGTATTATCATTTTTTTTCCAGTACCCTGATCTGGAATGGATGCAAAAGGGTGACATAGTAAACCACCTGCTAAGCCTTTGTGTTTGCTTATATTTAGCATTAACCTGTGCTTATTAACCTTAGCACTCTAATTTAGATAGAATTCTTTAGTTGTGTAAAGTGTAAAATAATGGTCTCTAAAGCCAACCTAAATATGTACAGTGATATCTAATGCTGATTTAGGTACCTAAAGGACTTACCCATAAACACAGCTGTGTTGTCTTAAACGTAGCCTTTGCAGCAAAGTAGCACAGCCCTTTCCTCTCTGGATTGCTTCTGAAGAAAACATATTTATATCAGTGTTGCTTTTCCCAGCCCAGGTGAAAGAAAATCTTGTTCTGTTACTTTAGTACCAGAACTCAGTATGTGCACATCTGTTGAACCCTCTGGTGCCAGGCTGTGAAATCACTCTGTGGTTTGAGCATCAGAACCCATCAGGTCAGGTTGTGACCTCTGTGTGTGCAGGTTTTTCCTCACTGCTTTTTTCCTGCTGATCTCAAATTCTCCTTCATTTAAATACTTTCATCTCCTCTAGTTCTTCATGTATAGCTTCAACTTCTTTTCATGTTTTCAGCTTTTCTCCTTCTTCCTCTACTTAACCAGCTGGGAGAAAGTATATATTGTGCCTGATGTGGGGGCTAATTATTCTGCCATTATGTGAAGTGCTTACAGGGCAGCTGAGAGGTCAGACAGAACAGGTGAATGCCAAGTTTGTACTGCAGTATTTCTAAAAGTGGAAGTAGTAACATAAGCCTTTCTGCTCCTTCCAGCTGCTATTTTTGTTGGGAATAGCAATATTTTAATGTAATGGGAATTTCTTCCTTCATTGTCAACTGCAGACTAAAAGCGAAAAACTTCAGAACCTGTAAGCCAGGTTGTAAGTGAAAGGTGAGGATAGTCAGGGAGAGGCAACCACCAATTAATAACAGAATCAAGGAGTCTCAATTCCTTTGGAAATTAGGATAAAAATAATATTCAAACTGATATATTTATGTTAATTTAAAAACTATGCGCATAAACCTACCTAAAATTGAGCTCTCTTCTCTTATTAGTCAGTGTTTAGTCTTTTTATTTGGTGCATCTAAATTCATATTTACTCAGCTGCAGGAGGAAATGAGTGGTCTTTCAGAAGAACACCTGTGTCTGCTCACATGGACTTTATTCTCCTATGTATTTGAATGCTGGTCTAGCAGTGTTACCAGCTAAATGACAGGTATGCTAGAACATTGTTAAGTATTTGGTTTACTGACAAAACCAGATACAAAACACTGTTGCAAAAAAAATGCTGGTGACTTCTGTTATGCTGTGCCTCTGCTCCAAAGATGTAGTGCAAAGATGAGAGTGAGTCAGTGGTCCTAGTAATTAGTCTCATGACAAATTCATCAGAATAAATTAATTAGTTTTCTGTACCATGGCAGTCAGCCTTGTAATGGGATTTTAAAAGATTTATCACTGGTTACTGAACTACAAAAAAAAAAAAAAAAAAAAAAAGATTATGAGGAAAACAGGAATTACTATCATAAAAAAAAAAAAAAAAAAAAAAAAAAAGAACTCTTCTGCTAAGGCTTTCAAGGCTTTCTTATGAAGAAGCAAATGTGTGACTGGAAAAGCACATTGATTACAAATGAATGTTGTTCTGAATACAAAAGCCAGAAAAAGAAAATAACCATCAATATAAAAAATAATGGATTACAGGTACAAAACTGATTTTCCATGTGGTCCTCTATCCCAATTCTTTGACATAGCAAATGTCTGAAAATTTTATCGGTAAAATATACTGAACTGCTGTTCATCTGTCTTGTCTTTGGTAGCATAGTCAGGAAACAGATTTTATTGTTTATAACAAAACTCAGTCTAAGACTGACAGGATTTATATGCAACTTGGCTAGAATGTTACTGAACATAAAGTCACTGCAAACCTCAATGGTAGAATAGATTTGGGAACTGCAGGTAACTCATCTCAGTGATGGCTGTTGTCATGGATCCCTTCAAGATGTTCTATATGCTGCCTTCTGCTCCAGCTTTAGTGTGGTTTGGCATCCTCCATCTCGTTTGATTAACTCTCTTAAGCTTTTACCTTCAGTGTAGAAATTTATAGTTCATAAACTTAGTTTGCTGACTATAAAGCTCTAGATAGGGAAATGACAATTGTTTAGAAGTATTGAGAGAGATAAAAGCAGTAGCTTTGCTTGAACAACGACATTCATAAACAGAGTGGTAGAGTTGGCACAGTGTAGCAGTTGCTCCAGTTCCTGGCTCCAGGGCTTCAGCCTGGCATCTTGCAAGGATGTGTTTGCAGAAGAGAGTGGAAAGAGCTGAAAAAGCATCAGTAAGGGCTGGTCAAATACTGAACTGAATTCTATGCAGAGAGCATATTTTAAGGGCTGGTGGTCAGCTGATGACTTCAAAAATGTACTATCAGTTTGTGTAAAATTTACCTCTTACTATGCCTGTTCTTGTATACACCACAAACACCAATGTGAGGTACCAAAAATATGCTCAGGGTTTTCATGGTTCTGCTTTTTCAACATTTAGAAATGAAATTGCAACAGCAGGCTGCTGTGCTGGTCATGATTTTTTTATTGGAAGAATGTTAATTTCGTACGTTGTTTGGTAAGTCCTCACAAACTTTCCCTGGCATCAAGCAGGGATGAGAATAATCAACTAATTTAAGAGTGTTTTATAGTCCTGCTAAAATTGTTTACCAAATGCTGCAACCCAGTTCTGTCACTTCAGAAGATCTCATCTAATATGTAGACAGGTCTTTATTATAATCAACTAACTGTACCTGCTGTCACTTCTGATTGGAAACAGATGCTTCATATCTTTCTATATCCTGAACTTTGAACAGGAGTCTCCTACAGGATCTCTTCAACATTATCTAACTGCCAACTTTAACAAACTTGTGATTTTTTTTCTAATGGTTCAGTCTTGTGGCTTATATTTGGTCCCTTCTTCAATTTTTATGATTTTTTAATATGCCTCAGAGAGGACCAAAGGAACAAGACCACAGATTTAGAAGCTACAATGCAGATATCCTCCATACACCTTTAATTCTACAATTTAAGTCTACACTAAATTTGCATTAAGGTTTTATATCACTGTGTAGCTGGTGTAAGTACAGATTACATCTTGAGTGCAGCAAAGAAGGATGAGAGTGAACTAAGCTTCACATATAGCATAGACAACAAGATTAATTGTAAAAAAATCACGTTTATCAGTGTACTCTCTTTAAACCTAATTCAAAGTGGTGTACCAAAGACTAAATCTTTATAGAAGAAGTTTCCAGAAATCTTTGAGAAGACAACCAGCTTGCTATAGACCTGCTGCTGTCAGCATTTCACAGACTGCTTCGCTGCTGGAAATGTCCCAGCATCTGAATGAAATTTAAGATTATACGATCCTGCAGAAACCTGTTAGTTTTGTAAAGGTTAGAGAAGGAAGGTAAAATTTTAGGTTTAATTCAGATCAAAGAGGCTGATTTTCATGCTATTCAGCTGAGCAGACCTTGCTTACTTTTCTTCATTTATTTCACACAGAGTGTTCAGGTTTGTTGCATCTGAATTAATGTTGCCCTTAATTTATATTGCCTAAAGTAAATTTTATTAAGTTGTTATGGGATGACAACCAAACTTCAAGAAGAGTTTTTTTTCTTGGAGGAGAAGCAGCAGTTTTTTAGTACTTGCTGATGCATGCTTTTTTATTTTATTAATGAGGTTGTTGTTGTTTTTTTTGTCGGCCGGATGATCTTTTGTGCTGGATGAATAGATTTTGATCAGCACTGGAAATTGAAGGCACTTTCCTAAGCAACTCTTTCTGTTAAAATGGACTTTTGTACTGACTTCTTAAAAAATACTGTAGAAATAGAAAGGGTATAAGAAACAGCCACAAATCAAATAAGAGTTTATGACATCAAAAATCATATCAGGCCACAGCAGTGGCAGATTTCTTATAATTTTTCACCATCAGTTCTTAGCAGTTAATACTTTTCCCACTGTAAATATGAGGAGCAGAAGAATAAAGGAGTGTTAGGTTGCTCTCCCACAGCACCCATAAACTCTGTGGCAGTACAGAGGTGTGCACACACAACTCACAAGAGCCAGGTGGGCACTGCAGCCATTGCTCCTTTCAGCTTGTCTCTGAGAGGGAAGAGTGTGCATCTCCACATCAGCAGTCTGGAGTGAGAGCAAGCAAGCAACCTACTTACACATGCCATTCACTGGATACTATTTTGCAGTTGTGTTCTTCCTCCTGAGAAAAGTCCTGCTAGTTCCTGGGCTTTTTGCCCTGGAATACTATTTTTATTTCATTACCAGTGGGAGTCCCAGTGCCAACAAACAAGGGATTAGTTCAAGCAGCAGGCAGACCCCATGGCTCAGAATTTCTGAGCTCAAGGCAGGCAGCAAGAATCAGCTAGAACAGTGTTTTCATTGACTGAACTGCATACAAGTGATGGAATGTGTATAAATTACATTCTCTCCTGTAATAGAGACAGTAGAGTGACTCTTAAGAAGCAACCACAGAGCTTTGAGTAGGAATATCCATTCCTGCATGCTTTTCTAAGGGGAATCAACACCCCAGCTGGGGGTACAGATTTGAGTAGCTGTAGCTTACTTTCAAGCCCACTTGGAAAGAAATGGCAAAAGAGCTCCTTGTTGGTTACCTCTTGAGATGTGTCTTCAGTCAGTATTTCTCCTGATACTGACTCTTTTCTTTTTTCTTGTACTTTAGCCAATGGTTTCTAATATATAATTGTCATAGAGCTACATGTTGGTATTTAAACCCTGGAATTCATTCAGGTTTGTGCTGAGATTTTTCAAAACCTGATGATATTTTTATATGCAAAGTGAGATTAGAAATTCTCATGTTATATTTGTAGCTGCATTTCTTTGTTCTTAGAAGAAAGAAACCCCCAACTGTGTAAACATGGAAAATAAAATTCTTCTGTCCTAGAGTCTGCTTGTTCATTTTTTAACAGGTGTATACAACAACTTTTGTATACACAACAATTCAGATACAACAGCTTTTGTCCTTCCTTGTTTTGCTAAAACAGTGCAAATAAGTGGGTGCTTTATGAGGAGCAATACTTTTGTGTTGGATGTTGGAGGCCAATTGTTTTTTCCCAGTAGAGTTTGAAAAGAAAGCTGTGGCCAGCTCATAACTGACTCGCTGCAATAATTGATTCATCTCTCTTGTCCATCTCTTTCCAAGGGAAAGACTAGGAAGTATAGTTATTGAATAATATTATTGGAGCAGTACTTTAAAGGTCAGGGCAGATCTGGCATTTGGGTGATCTTTTATTTCTCCAAGCCTGTAATGACAGACTAATTTTCCCTGAAGCTCATCCGACGTCTTAGCCCTTCACTGTAAATGAAATGTTGCTGAACACTGGGCTGGAGGAGCACCAAGGGTTTGATCATTTCAGAGAATTGAAGGCAAGGTGTGTCTGGTGTTGTGGTGCAAGTGCTCTTTGTTGAGGTTGAAAATATTAAAACATAATGAGGTATGTGGGGAGACTAACTGTGCAAATGGAAGAGTAGAAATGTCATGATTTACAAACAGTACAGCACTTGCAGGTATTTTGTGTGTGCTTGTTTAAGCAGCCACCCACTCACATATTGTTTGCATATACATTCATAAACAGAATATAGGAGCATCATACACTGAGTAGTTTAGAAGATGACTCAATTATGGTTGCCTGTTGGGAAACAGTGGTGAAGTTTTCAACTTCTTTCTACTCCTCGGAGCTCCACAGTGCTGTATTGCCAGAAGTCCTACCCTGTGTTTCAAAGCTTCTGAGGAACCTTTCCCTTGAGACCATGTTTTAGATTGCAAAGGTTCCTGCACTGCTACTATCTGCGCCTCTGATGTTCTCTGCATGCAGCAGTAACCTGAGGAAAGAGGTGGTTTTATATTACTCTATTTGGATGAAGAATGTCCTAGCTGGGTGTGATATACTGGGTTATAATAGCTGCAGTGTGAGACACCAGGTCTGGGCATGCTGCATTGGATTATGATAGCTGGGCTATTCGACTTCTGCCATTAAAGTCTATCCAATAAATAAACATTTGTGTGCCAAATCACATACTTGTCTGTTCCCTCACTGTGTTTATAGGTAAGCTGTAGCTGATGCAAGGTGAACAGCAGGATGCAGTTTGGATCCCACAGTCATGATCAGGTAGACAGTGCTGCGATTCAACCCTTGGGGAGAATCAGGGTCACTTCTACTGTGCTGTTCTCAGGCTGTCATAGAGTAGATGTGGCAGGTCCCTACCTTGTGGCAGTGCCTTTTCAATTGCATTTATTTGGTAAGCAGCTTGAACTGTCTCATTGCTGCCAGACAGTGTGAATGCTGAGCCACACTCACAAATCATGACATCCCAATCAGTAGGGGATACTTCATGTGACCTCTCCTCAAATGTAAGGCTGTATCCCACTGATAATAGTTATGGCAAGCCATATAGAATTATTGATGGTACACAAAGGATTTCTCAATTCTTTTGAAGTTCTCCACTACAAAATTAACTCAGCAATTACTGTGAAAATCACAAGGTTCATGTGTTGCTTCCTTCTGTTTGCATATCAGTGAGCATGAAGATTTGTGCCTTCATGCAGGTGAGTGTGTGTGGTATTGCCTAGATGTAATTTAAAAGAAATTCCTTCATTCCTTGTACTTTAAAAACAGTATTTTCCTTTAAATTTAAATCTAGTATAAGGTAACATAGGGAAGATCTCTTATGTGAGGAAGTATTTCATCCAATGCTTTATCATGATGATAAACATTGGTATAGTGCTGTGCCAGCTGCATTTTGCTTCATATCAGTCACATAAAACCATCTCTTCCCAGTTTCTTGCCTTTAAGCATCTTGAATTTGTAAATGGAAGGGAGGCTTTTTCCCCAGACCAGATGAGTAACCGCTGGGCTGATCTAACCTTGCTATCTGGGTACCATACTGCTAATAGAGGAGTGAATAAAAGCTCTTATTGGTGGTGTCTTGACCCTGTCTTCTTGTCTGATGTGTCTTGTGAAAAGATATTCCAAAGATACCCTGACCTTTCAATAAATACAGTTGATTATTTAGATGAAAAACATGTTTGCTTAAACTTCTGAGTGTCACAGATGGTGAAAGCAAAGAAGACCTTCACAGAAAGGAGTAAATCTTTTGTAGTTCACTGATGACAATCTGCTTCAGAGCATTCTTCATCTTTCCTCTTCTTGTTTATTTGCACAGAGGTAGCAGATGGGATTGAAATACCACAGGGTGTGTGTATATAAGCAAATGCAGGTGCTTTGTAACACAGAAAGCGAGATGACAGGTGGGTGCAAGTAACACTTAAGGGCAAAAGGAATGATAATAGGGCTAAAGGAGGTCACAACAGACTGCTATTTTACAAGAAAAGATGGGATTTAGAAGGAAAGTTTAGGGAGCTCCTTGCAATCAGGAAATAAATGTTCTAAGCAGCAGTGTTTGTTTATCATTATTCTGTTCCACATTGTGACATTTAGTACCAGTTGGCCCTGACTTGTTCTGGTTTTACTGTCGTGATTTGGACATTTCTGAGCGTAGACAAGTAGAGGATAAAAGGCCGTTCTCTGTTGTGTTCCTGGTGCTCTTTCACAGCTCAGTTCCTCTGGGAGACACTGCAGCAGAAGGTTCAGTTCAAAGGAGACACTGCAGCAGAAGACTTGGCAGAAGACAAGAAAGCTGATTGAGTTTTCTCTGCTTGTTTTTTAAGTATCTCTGGGCATACAATTTACCTTTTCAGTAGTAAAAGATGAACTGTTACCAGTGGAGGAAGACTGATTAGATGACTGAATAGTTCATTTGGATATGGCATTAAAAGATCCTACTTCTTAACACCCTGTATCTTTAAAGTCACTTATCTTATCTAGGTACTGGATTGGGTAGCTGATTCTTTTTGTAAAGGGTTTAAGCATCCTGAGTAAAAAGCACTGAATAAGCATCAACTGCTGTTTTTGATTATTTGAGATGTTCACATTCTGGGGGCAGTGGTGGGCGCTTTAAGTTTCTGGAAGAATTAGGGTAATGTGATCAGTCTGAATTCATGTGATCACTCGTTGTGCAGCCATCTTGGAAATAGATCTTTTGCACAAAATCCTTTGAAGTTGTATCCTTTTGCTCTTCATGCAGCGTCCCATCATCTCGATCTGTTGGGGTCACAGGGATTCGCGCCTGCTGATGGCGTCGGGGCCCGCGCTGTACGTTGTCAGAGTGGAGCACAGGGTCTCCAGCCTGCAGCTGCTGTGCCAGCAGACCATCGCCAGCTGCCTGCGGGATGACAAGGATATCAGCAAGCTGACCCTCCCCCCTCGGCTCTGCTCGTACCTCACCACTGCCTTCATACCAACAATCAAGGTAAAAAGAAAGAAATGTGTGCATTTTGAAGAGAAAAGTGTTACTAGATCTCTCCCCTCTATGGTGCTCCTAAGTGGCAATGGCTACATTATAAGATTTCATAATTTTAAAAGCTTTCGCATCCTCTTCAAGACCTCACTGATGCATTTGGTGCCTATTAAAAATCTGAAAAGAAGGTTTACATATGCTGATCTGCATTATTCCATGGAGATGGCCTTTCCAACTACATAACAAGGGTAGAATATGCTAGTGATTCACAAAGACTTCTGAAGAAGTTCATGCTGGTTATAATGTTCTGTCACAGTTACAGGAGGGATTAATGGGGTAAAACTAGTGCCCCTCTACATTTCACATGAGTGCTTATATTGCAAGGAAGGTTAGGCATAAACCTGGGGCTGCCCAAACATTTCTACTAACACTGAGTTCTGCTAATCTTACTGCTCCAACAGTGCTATGGAATAATGAACCAGGTATCACACCTTTTACTGTACCACCAGCAAAATCATCTGCACAACCTGTTTGTTTCATGCTTTTGCCCTCAGTAACATCTTGGGATTTCCAAGCTGTTTATCACTGCCTATAAACCAGAGCATTAGCTGGTAAATGCTTGACATTCAAACACACATTCTTGTGATTTTTTGTGTATGTGTTACAGCAGTCTCTTGAGCCAGAAGTCCTTGTTAAAACAATGCAGAGCTAGAACAACTAATTTGAAATCAGTGGGGCTGACCCAGCTTAAATGAGAACAAATTATGCCTACAAAATAATAATTCAGCATGGTTCCATTTGGGTACTGCTAATCAGGGCAGTTTGTGCAACTGTAAATCATTTCATTTGTCAAAAAACAATAAATGCCTTGCTGTAACCATAACTCCTGGATCTCCAAAGATGCAGAGCATTTATCAGGCTGGAAGTCTCCAGTTTTTTCCATCCGAGATTCTCCCCAGGGTGCTTTCCATGTTGTTCCAGAGTCACCCTTCTCTAGAGCATCAGTGACAATTTCCTGGCTGTCAGGGAAGGCAGGGGAGGGGACAGGATGGGCTGGATGAAGGCAGCAGTTGGCTAGGAGGCCTGGTGGGGGTCAGAGGGCAGTACAGGGACACATCATTGCCAACAGTCCTTGTGTCACCTCCTAGAGGAGATGCGAGGATGCAGCGTGGTTGTGGTGCTGTGTAGCTGAGAGGTGGGAGCAGGGTTTCCAGAAGCCATGTGCTTGTCCTGTTTCATGCCTGTTTCTGGAGCCTCATCAGCACTTACACTTGACCTTGGCTCATTCCAGTCACCCACTGAACCTATGTTGTCAGCCATGCTTTCAGTGCTAGGCAAGGCACCCTCTCCCCTGTGTACATTCCTCTTCCCCCCTCTAGCCTGTGAACCACATTATAGGTCACTTCTCAGCTTATACCCATTTGCCAGGTTAAAGAAGCCTGGTTTTTTCCATAGCTTTTTTTTTTTTTTTCCTTATAATTTCATTTTGAAAGAAACTCTGTTGACTTATAGACATTAATAGTATTTGTGTTACACTGACTATGTTGTCCTAGACAAAAGCAGTCCTACTGCTTTAGGACTGAGTTTTTCATGGATTCATACAGTGTGCTGGCAAGCAGGGCAAAGTAACCCAAGCTTTGTGTTTGTATTTCTCTACATGGCACATAAATAGGCCCTCAGCTAGGATGGGACATGTACTTGGAAGTGATATAAAAAGTAGAGGCTTCTTCCAGAGTTGACAGCATTGTAGCATAGTGGCATAGCATGTACCAATAGTAACCAGGAATGGATCTGAGTGTCCAGGTTCACTTTGAGGGCCTGCAGGAGACAAGATTGGCTTGACCACATTACTCAAGTTCAAAAAGAAGTTTCTGATAAGAGCTGGAACTTGAAGACAGGTTTGTTGTCTCATTCAGTGCTCTGACCACATGTTCAACCTTCTTTTTTGATGTAATTAGTATTACTTTTCTGTGTACAACTGTTTTTGACCTTACTAAATAACACAGAAGCCATTCTGTCTTGCATGTGGTTCCTGCATAACTCGTGGAGTAACCTATACTAATCTTCACCTGCCAAATTAGAGTTGGGTTCAAGTTCAGTGACTTGTGTTGGAATTAAGTCACCACAGGAAAAAACCCCAACCAATATTGGAAAACTTTCTCTTTCCTTCCTCTGTTTAATTAAGCCTCCAATCCCAGACCCAAACAATATGAGAGATTTTGTCAGCTACCCAACAGCTGGTAATGAACGGCTTCACTGCACCATGAAGCGGACGGAAGATGACCCAGAGGTTGGTGGTCCATGTTATACACTGTACTTGGAATACCTTGGGGGACTGGTGCCCATTCTGAAAGGACGTCGTATCAGCAAGCTGCGGCCGGAGTTTGTCATCATGGATCCTAAAACAGACGGAAAAGCAGGTAGGATTCAGTTGTTGCACTGTGTAAAAATGATTTAGCAATACTTCAGATATTAAATCCTCAGGAGTTTTAAAAAATACATATATGCAACATGGATGGTGGCTTTCTGATATTTTTTCCTAGTGTGAAAAAAATCTTTAGCATGACCTAGAAGCTTCTAAAATTATACCCTTCTGCTTTCTGTTTTACAGAAAAGAACTTCTTGTATTCTGAGTAATGGAATATAGATTGCTAATTAGCAGAAAATATTCTTTAGTCTCAATTTCAAAGTCAGTTGAATGCTATTCATCCCTCTGAATGATGTTCACTTGAGTTCAAACCATTGGAAATTTGGAGTTTGAGGGCAGAGTGGAGAACATTTAATTTTACTCTGCAAAGTTTTATTTCAACTGCTGCCTGTAGATCAGGTTTATGCTTCTGATGACTGAGAATTATAATTTATACCAGTTTTCTGAAGCAGCACTTAAATTTTCTGGGGCCTGTCTTGATAGATGAAATCTATGGAAACAGCTTGATTTCCACTGTGATTGACAGCTGCAACTGCTCTGACTCCAGCGACATCGAACTCAGCGATGACTGGGCAGCAAAGAAATCTCCAAAAATCAGTCGAGCTAGCAAATCACCTAAACTCCCCAGGTAATAACGTCTTGGATAGTACTTCTTTTTCCCCAAGCTCCTCTCTTCCTCCCTACCTCTCCTTCCCTCTCTTGGCACATTGTAAAATGAGAAAGTAGACTCCTTTAGGCACATAGGAATTCTCTGTAAGACTGGGGTCCTCTACAGGGTGCAGATCTGGGGTGATCTCAGAGATTAGCATAGAGCTGGACTTTGGGGAAGATTTCTGGGACAAAATGTGATGGGAAACAATAGAGCACAACTTTGCCTCAGGCAGTCTCAAAGAAAGATTTTATAAACTCTTCCACTTTTTCTTTTTTTTCTCTCTTGCCACTATGGAATATATTTTGTTCTTAAGCAGGCTGCTTTTTACTTTTGTTTGTTACATTTCTGCCAGTGAGCTCTTTAGGTGCTAGATCTGGTATTCTTGACCCCCCTTGTATAGTGGGAGGTAGAAATAACTTTTGGTTTAAGGTAGGAACACTGACAACATTTATGGAGCCTTTGTTTGCTGTATACTAATGTGAAAATCTGTCAGCTGAGGTGTCATGTTCTCATTTCTTGAGACTTTGCTCAAAGTCTGTACGCTGAGATCACTCATCTCTACACCTTTTAGGGATTACTGGAAGATACATTGTATCTGGCAGAACTGCTGTAAATTTTGTTAGATTAATTAGAAAGCATCTAGCATGAGTTACTGCAAGTGTGTCATGTCTTCTGTATCTTCAAATTTGACCCGTAATTCTCCATCCTATAGGCTCTACAGTCTTTATTAGTCACTTGAAGGACATCCTATCAGTTGTCTTCTTACATCTTTCCATTCAAAGATATGAGTTTGGTGCATTTTAGCTTATCTATTGTTGATTCCAAGTATTGTTTTACCTGCAGAATCAATATAGAAGCTCGCAAATCTCCAAAGATGTCACGAGCTGCACAGGAGATCTCAAGATCACCAAGGTTACCAATAAGGAAACCCTCTATTGGTTCTCCAAGCCTGACACGAAGAGAGTTTCCTTTAGAAGATATTACTCAGGTATTGTGCACATTGTTACCATACCTGATTCAAATGCATTTTTTCATGAGGCAATATGTTGTGATAGAGATCCAATGATCAGCAATGAAAAATTGCATTAAATTACATTAAGTAGATAGAACTAGAGAATTGCATTTTCCAGTTCAGCACTAATGTTTGAAAGTGCCAATGGAGTATGAGGTGTTGTTTGGTACGTACCAGGACCAGTTACTTTTGTCAGTGTGAATCTATGAGAGAGGTTTCATTCTAGGTGATGTTGTTAGTTTTTTGAAAGTGTATGTGAAAAACTTCATCAGTTTCCAGACCCACTTAATGCCACCATAATTCTTTGCTTTGCTAGGGATTGCAGAGGTAAGGAAATGTTTGCTTCAGAGGACCACATGATCTGTTTCATAATTAACACGAAACAGTCTTAATTGGAAGGAAGGAAGTAAAGGAATTACCACTTTGTGCTTTTTGTGGTGTTCATGTCCTCTGGGTAAATGAAACTTAGCAGGCTGTAGAACTGTCTGGTTTGTATATTTCATGAATAACAGCCTATGTTATTTTAATTTTCTTTTGTTTAGTTTGTTTTTTTCTGCTCTCTTGTTTAACTTTTTCCTTTTTATGAAAATTTCTAAACATTTACACAGAGATAGGACCAAAAGCCCTTCAAATATAGCAGAAGACCTGAGGCTTAGATCCTGCTCCTGATACAGGCGGCTTACTTCTTGGCTTTTGGGGAAAATCTGTTGGTCTTTCTGACCCATAACATATGTACCATGGCAGCAGTTTGTGTAGTTGCTTTAGGAGCTGCAGGGGAATATATGTTTGCTGTTATGAGTAATTAATTTCTGTCTTGTTTACTGTTCTATAAAGTGATTCATGAGCATAGAACCAACGGGCATGGTGTATCACTCTCTGAATAGCCGTGGTCCTGCTGGGCAGGAGCAGCAAGTGCCAGAAAACAGACCTGTTCTCACTAAGCAGGCATTCTCCACTAAGTGTTGTTTGGATCTTCAATAGTTCTAAGCACCCTGTGGCTGATGCATACATCATTTCTGATGGTGTTAAGATATCAGAATGAGTCTTCTTAATGACTGTGTAAAACTGTTGCTACATAGGCACTTTAGGCTGTTTCAATACAATAAAAACAAGATAGACTGAAATTGCATTATCACTTGCAATAGCTTGATTGCTCTGCAGTATTTTATTAGAGCTTGATACAGATTTTATCAGGTTTTTTACCATGTTTTTGTTTTTCAGCACAACTACCTTGCTCAGGTCACATCTAATATCTGGGGAACCAAATTTAAAATTGTGGGTTTGGCTGCTTTCCTACCAACTAACCTTGGTGCAGGTAAAAGTAAACTGTTCATTTTTTTTGCATGTCAATTTCTTTCTAACAAACAAGAAACTTATGCCATGAGATTTTTTTAAGTGATCAAAAGGCTTCTTTAACAAAACACTTATTTTCTGTGTACTGTGGGGATTAGATTTTATTAAATTCACTATAACTAAAGGAGATTAAAATCTATAAGTACAGTAACAAGATGATCGATAAAATGCTAAAAGTCTCACTTGTAATAAAAAAGTAAATCAGCGGTTGAGTCCAGACCTCTGTTCTTACAGTTTATTTGAACAAAACCCACACAAATAAAAAAAGAGTTTTGTAAGAGGACTATAGAAATAATAGGTTTTAAGTTACTGCCATAGAAGTGTTTTTAAAAGTCATATTTTTATAGTTATTCAGCTACAAATTATACAAAAAAGCTATTACAGCCTCATGCTTAAGACTTCAAGTCAGTGCAGAGCTTCGTCACTGATGCTCTGCTGGAGCATCAGTAGTCTGGTAGCCATCATTAACAGCAGCAGTTGTCTATCATCAACCTTTTTCTGGGTAGGCCAGTTCTGCCCAGTGGACCTGCTGGGAAGGAAGAAGGCTGGTTAAAAAACAGGTACCACCTCACAGAACTGAGCTCTGAACTGAAATATTAACACAAGTCTAGCAGTTTAATGAGCTCTTTAGAAAACTTACTTTGTCCTAAGTTCCATTATATAGTTGGGTCAGGAGTACATAAAGGGTGCCCTGGATACAGAATTAGGTGGATGGCTTTTGTGGCTATATGGACTGCTATCAGCAGTTGAATGAACACAGGTCATTCTAATTCTCTCGCTGCCAGTGGCAGATAGGGAAGGATATAAGTGTAGAGTAAATGTATAGTGATACTTCTTTCAAATGTTCTCCCAGTCTCCGATGGTTTGTGTCCCAGAGATTTCCTGAGCCAAGTGGGATTTCTTTGTATATAGTAACCATCAGCAGATTTCCTTCCTGAGAGTTTTCCAGGTTTCCCCTGTAAATTGGTAGCATCCTGTGGTGAAAAGTTTCAAAAGTATAATGGAAAAAAGTATTTTCCTTCCATAAAAATAGATGTGAATACAAGATGAAGTAATTAATTATTTAATTACAGTGATGCTGCTTCCATTTAAAGAGAAATAGCTGAAAGCAACAATCTCTTTTATTCCATTTATGCTGTGTTACATAGTGATTTGACAAATAATGGCTTGCCCATGCGGATATATACAAAATAACAATATTCATAGCCCTTCTGTCTGTTTTGAATTGCTTCTTCCTTAGATTTACATGCTATTTGTGTAACAGACTTTTTTGTTTCTTGTTATGTTCTTTTTATAGTAATATATAAAACCAGTTTGCTGCATCTGCAGCCCAGGCAAATGACAATATATCTCCCAGAAGTGCGGAAGATTTCAATGGACTACATTAACATGCCTGTCTTTAATCCAAACGTTTTCAGTGAAGACGAAGATGATTTACCAGGTAAGGAGGAGCTGGAGAGCTTCTTGTTATGGGTTAAGCTAGATGGAGGTCAGGTTGGTTGTGTCATGGTCCCATCTTGTAAACACACAACTCAAAACCATTTAGTCTGATGGGGTCCTGTAGAACTGAGTTAGAATAAGGCTAATATGTACTATGGACATGGTTTTCTATGATGTGTGGAAAATATAATCCATAAAGAGCTCCTTAGTTTCAAGTTCATTGGGAAATTAGTCATCTGCCAATTCATCTTAGTTTACTAGGAATTCTCCACAGACTAAAGCCTTTCATTCTGCATCTTGATAGGACAGAATTCTACTCTGTCAGAAACCCAAACAGGCTGTTCTTGAGACCTAATGGCATCAAAGCACAGACGGCTGATAGGAGCTTGGGCTGGAGAGCAGGTTCTTGTAAAACTCAGCCACCTGTTGCCAGGTCACAGGTTTTTGGAGTTATGGAAGTGGCTGTCATGCCAGTACCCTTCAAAGAAGAAGGAGTGTGAGCACTGCAAAGCAATTAAGAACATTGCTAAAATCTACTGAAATAAATGGAAATGTTCTCATTATTTCAGACCAGGGTTTCAACTGCGACAGCAGCAAAGCTTTTGTCTGACCCAAGCATCCGAGGAGTCCTTTGGACTTCTAAAGAAATACTTGTATGTTTCAAATTAAGCCCATTTTTTTCACAATCTGGGGGACTTGGCCTGCTTAATTTCTGTCTACATGATGCTCACTTGTAATGTCTGAAGAAAATAATAATAAGTGACCATATATATATATATACACACACATATATATATATGGTCACCTATATATATATTTTATATTTATATATATATATAATTAATAGGAAGCACCCAACATTTTCTAATATGAAAGTCGGTCCAAGCTGTCAGAAAGTAATATAAAAACTAAATATAAAAGAAAAAAGTTAATACAAAGTTTTCACATCTCTTCCTGAAAACTGGGTTGAATCTGTACTAAGAGATGAAATGGTGCTCATAATTGTAGGTACATAGAGAGAAAATTATTGGAGACTCCTGCAACAGCTCCTTGAGGAGGCTAGTAAAAGGATTATAGTACCCTGTCCTTCTAACAGCCTTCCTCTTGTCCACTTTTTCCTTCTAGTTTCTTCTGAAAATGTATTTCTGACTTAGTAAATTGTGGCAAGTTAAATCTTCAAAAATGTTTTTGGGGATATTCTTTCTAATGCCTATATATAAAGCAAGAAAGGAAAAAGTACTACTACTAAAGGAAAAAGTATTGCCGGGTAAATAATGATTACCTGATAGATGAAAAAACCCATAGTAGAAAGCTGCTTTTGGGCAGTACCATGTTCATAGTGAGGTACACTTGGGACAGGTGTTTTTTAATGTAGTCAGTAAAGATTTGGCAAGACAAATGCACAGTGAATTGATTTAATTTACAAAGCATGCAAACTAATCAATTAAAAACCATTGGAGAAATGAAGAAAACATTGGATTTAAACACTCAAGAGTAATAAGCAACACCACAACAAATGCTATTTTGTTGGGTAAGGCAAAATGACAGCAAGATTTGGGGCTGCTCAAGCCAAGCTAACAATTGAACCTCAGGCTCTGGCAGCTAAATTGCTAAGCCTGCAGACATCGGGGTGAAAGCATGGCCTGCCAGCCAAGCACAGAACCACAGAATTGCCTTGGGGTCAGTTCAGTTTGGCTTTTGGTCTTCCTCTAAAGGAATGAACTGAGCTACCATAAGTACTTGCCAGTGTAGCCACAGTGCTACCTGTACGTCTCCCATGTTCACAACTGATCCTGGCAGAAGCCTGATTTTACAGAAAATGTAATCATAGGGCATAGGTAGATGACTCAAATTTTAATTAGAAATTAATTAGGAACTGGGCAGCGTTTGGACGAGTCCTGATGAATGGATCTCTTACATGATCTGGTCTTGCAAATCAGAGGTCTCCACAGAATTTGGCACACTTAAATATTGATATAAAACTGGATAAAAATTGGATATGACACTAGATCCTTGGTATCCTTTCCTTCCACAAACCTACTGATACAACTCATCATTTTCCGTGATTTTTTTTACAGGAAGTTTAATAAAAAATAAAGAACTTGCAATATTCTTGGAAGCTCTAATATAGTATTTACTGTTCTCCCTCTATATCCTGTTTTGTTCCTTCTTGACTACTGCACCTCTACCTGGATCCAGTGTCCTCATTTTCCTGCTGCAGCTTTTCAGTGGAAATTCCTATTGGAATCAACCACTTTTTGCAGAAGGAGCTGCAAACAATTGAGCACTCTTCACGTTTCTAATTATGAGAATTTTTTCTTGCCGCATTTTCCCTTTTTCAATGCCACATGTGGGAAATTTTTCCTAATATACATATGCTTCTTTATACATTTCTGATTGCAGCCAGTCCAAACATTAATGCTGCAGTTGCCCTGACTACAGTACCCACTTCTTGAATCATTTTGGCTTCACATCTATTTCCTCATATTTTCTCCTTACAAATCTGAGAACTTGTATAAATTTTGTCTGCATTTCATTCCATCATATTCCTCTCTGTTTCAGCTTCCTTCCTTTTGCATTGCTGATTGGTTTGTCACCCACTATACTCAGCTTTTCCCAACTTTTGTCTGTGTTCTCCAGTTCTCCCAAGCTCAGCGAGTCTAGGAATACTAGATATTATACAGTGTCTGCAGTGCAAGTCTTCAACTTTCTTAGCCTCTGCTTCTTTTGTTTGCTTGTTTGCTTTGTTCATGTGTTTATTTACTATCAAAAGTCCCTCCCTGAAAACTAATGAGTCCTGATTTAGCAAAATTTCTCTTGATTGAGCAGAAGTAGTTGAAACCTGATGATGAGTGAATGCTCAGTGATATAGTGACATTCCATGGTGATCATAGTGCAGGCTGAAAGCTCGCTCACAACTTGACCTCTGAAGTGCCACTCCCAAGAAGTGGCTTTAAAGCTGACCAGCAGCTGGTGCAAGTAGCTCTTGTTCGATGGGAGTCACGGGAGATGGGCTGGTTTACGTGTTCCCACTGAGGTCTGATCCACCGGTTTTGGGAACAGGTGGCAGAGAGTCCGTACAGGTAGCAATAGTTTGAAAGGCCCCTCTGTGGCGGGGGCAGGCCGGGGCCCAGGCCCGCCGCGGCAGGGGAGGGATGCTGGGCGGGATGCTGGGAGGGATGCTGGGCGGGATGCTGGGAGGGATGCTGGGCGGGATGCTGGGAGGGATGCTGGGCGGGATGCTGGGAGCGATGCTGGGAGGGTGCTGGGCGGGAGTGGAGGCGGTGGTGACGCTCTGTGTTGTCCCTTGCAGTGCCCGGTGCCCCCGGCGCGCCCGCCAGCAGCCCGCCCTGCACCGTCAACATCCCCATCGCGCCCATCCACAGCTCGGCGCAGGCCATGTCGCCCACGCAGAGCATTGGCCTGGTGCAGTCGCTGCTCGCCAACCAGAACGTGCAGCTGGATGTGCTGGCGAACCCGCCGGCCGAGGCGGGGGCCGAGGGCCCGGGACCCTTCCCGGGGGCTCCGGGCCGCTTTCCCGGCCCCGGGGCGGGGGCGCTGGCCGTGGGCGAGCTGGGCCGCCCGGCCCCGCCGCCGCTGGCCCCGCCGCCCCCCGCGCCCCCCGCCATCGCCCTGGCTGACCTGCGGGACCACGGCGACCGCGATCATGAGCCCCCGCCCAAGGCCAAGGCCCCGCGGCCGGGGCCGCCGCTGGTAGAAGGGGACGCCGTCATCTTCGGGGCCGCCCCGGAGCTGCCGCTGAACAAGATGAACCCGCCGCCTCCCTACCCCGGCACCATCCCCGCCGTGCCCGCCACCCCCCTGCCGCCCCCGCCCGGGCCCCCGCAGCCGCCCCTCGATCTCTGCCTCAAGAAGGGCGAGTTCTCCCTCTACCCGGCGGGGCACTACCAGACGCCGCTGGGGTACGAGCGGATTACGACGTTTGACAGCAGCGGGAATGTGGAGGAGGTGTGCCGGCCTCGCACCAGGATGCTCTGTGCCCAGAGCACCTACACCCTGCCGGGCCCCGGCAGCTCCGCCACCTTGCGCGTCACAGCTGCCGAGAAGAAGATGCAGCAGCCCTGTGCCAGCGCCACCTTGAACCGGCTCACGGTCCCCCGTTACTCCATCCCAGCCGGGGACCCGCCGCCCTACCCTGACATTGCCAGTCAGCTGTCCCAGGGCAGAAGCGTGGCGCAGAGGCTGGACAGCAGTATCATTCATGCTACTCTGCGCAGGAACAGCAGAGAGGCCGCCCTGAAAATGGCTCAGCTGATGGATGGTCAGAGAGCCACCTTGCAACTTCCCCCTAAGGCCAAGAGCAACATTGTGTCAGCACAGTACCAGCAGAGAGTGCCCACAGCCTTGTACACCTGCAGCCAGTGCAGCAGTGGCGGCGCTGGCAGCAGCAGCGGTGCGAGCGCTGGTGGCGCGGGCAACATCGCTAGTGCCAATGCTGGTAGCAGCACTTCCAGCATTGGTGGCATGAGACCAGATCTGAGCACAGGGAGCGGCTCCCAACACAGCTCTGTCATCGCTCACTCTGTCAGTACTTCACCTCTGGCCTCCCAGTCCTCCTACAGCTTGCTGAGCCCGCCTGACAATTCCCGTGACCGAGCGGATTATATCAACTCCGCTTTCACGGAGGATGAGGCCCTTTCTCAGCACTGCCCAGTGGAGAAATCTGTACGGCACGTACCTGTGTCCTTGACAGAGGCTACCCTTAGTGTAAAACGGCCACCGCCGTACCAGTGGGATCCTATGGTGAGCGAAGAGATATGGGTTCCTCAGGAAAGGACATCTCAGAGCTCAGTGCCCAACCCTCTAAAACCTCCCCCGCTCATCATTGGTCAAGCTCAACATCTGGATATGTCTCGAGTGCCATTTGTTTCCCCCAAGTCTCCAACCAGTCCCACTGCCACTTTTCAGACGAGTTATGGGGTTGGAGTACCTTACCCAGGAAGTTACAGTGCCCCACCCCTTCAGGGAATGCAGGCCCCCTGCTCCCCCAAAGAAGCTCTGGCCCCAACACAGTTTGCACAGCAGGAGCCCACAGTTGTGCTTCAGCCAGGTTATTCATCCAGCCTCCCCTATTGCCCGTTGCCGCCCATGTACCCGGGAAGCAGCACTTGCTCTAGTTTACAGCTGCCACCGATCGCCTTGCACCCATGGAGCTCCTACAGCACCTGCCCACCCGTACAGAACCCCCAGGGCACCTTGCCCCCCAAGCCGCTCCTCGTGGTGGAGAAGCCGGTGATGTCTCCCCCACCAGCAGAGCTGCAGGGCCACGTGGGCACAGAGGTAATGGTGGAGACGGCAGACACTTTTCAGGAGGTGCTCTCCTTGACAGAAAGCCCGGTTCCTCAAAGGACAGACAAATTTGGCAAGAAGAGCCGGAAACGCCTGGACAGTCGAGCCGAGGAAGGAAATGTGCAGGCTATCACTGAGGGCAAAGTCAAAAAGGAGGCAAGGACACTGACTGACTTCAATTCACTGATAGCCAGCCCTCGGCTGGGGAGGGAGAAGAAGAAGGTCAAGAGCCAAAAAGATCAGCTGAAGTCCAAGAAACTAAACAAGACAAATGAGTTTCAGGACAGTTCAGAGAGTGAGCCAGAGCTTTTTATCAGCGGAGATGAACTGATGAACCAGAGCCAGGGCAGTAAAAAGGGTTGGAAAACTAAAAGGAGTTTGAGGACAGCCAGTGAGCTGGATGAATTCAAGTGCCGGAAGGCCAGTGAGAAGGAGGATGGGCGACTGGGAAGCCAAGGCTTTGTGTATGTGATGGCCAACAAGCAGCCACTGTGGAATGAGGCAACGCAAGTCTACCAGCTGGACTTTGGAGGGCGAGTCACCCAGGAGTCAGCAAAAAACTTCCAGATTGAGCTGGAAGGACGACAGGTAGGAAGGGTTGGCACACGCTTGCTGGAGTGGGGGCCAGGATGTGGGAAAGCTATGCCAGGAATAAGCTGTCACTCACGCTGTAGAGTGCCTCTTGCTTCTGTCAGCTGTTCATGAAAAAAGGCTTTGCCATATGGTTGATAATTAACAGCTGTCAAAGGTCTAAGTTCAGCATGTAGGGTGAAATTCAGCTGTAAAGTAAATACACAAAATATGTTTGGTCTTATTGCTGTCAGACATGGGAACAAGGGCCTCCTTTAGTCTGGCTGGCTCTCACTGCTGAAGGTTTTGTAATAAGCACAGTAGCTCTCCACAGTGGTAGCTGCACTTGCCATCAATAGTGGTTGTGGATGGCAGCTAATTGAGTGAACACCGCTCCTTTCTTGCCTTCACAAAGGTTAGCCAGGCAGCACGTAGCTAAGGCAGTTAGTTTCCCTGCGTGCCAAAATTTCCACTTGTGAGCAGCTACCAGGCCCCTGGGGTTAATGGCTCTTAATGCTAGAGGAGGGAGACACTGACCCACCCCAAAGCAAAGTGCTCCTGGACTACTTTTGAACCGCCTGTGGATAGATGGATATAATGGCTACTTCAAAAAATCGAAACATTTAATTTTGGCCACTTCTACGCGAAACCCACGCTTGTAAGTGGTGCTAATTAGCAGGATGCTGGACTGACATTCAGGAGACTCATACTTATTTCCTTGTCCAGTTTTAACTCACTTTTGGTTTACTAAAGATATCAAGGCCCTCGGTTTCATCTGATTTAAGTTGGGAGTTAGATGTCTTAAGTATCCAACATACACGACCGGTGGAAGTCTTTTGGTTTTGCTTGTAAGCTCAAAGGCAGCAATCAGAGCCATTTGTACCCCTTTCTTCTTCAGTTAAATGGCTGTGGCTATGTCCCCATGGGCAGCTGTGCAAAACCACACAACCAAGGGGTTTTTTTTGTGTTGGAAATAACAAAGCCTGCCTTGGCTTGTACAGTCAGTCTCCAGTCTAGCTCAAGGATCTTCACTGTAGAGCAAATAAAATCTGTATTTCTGGTGAAGCGAATGAAAAAATAGTAATAATAGCCCAAACTTCAGATATTTCCTGTGGAAGAGCAATGAACGACCTGACTAGTTTTGCTTTTTTTGTATTTCAAACAGCTCTCACTGCCCCTTTGCTAATTCATTCTTGCTGTAATTATGTGCTAGTGAAGATATTTTTACAGAGGGAAACAGAACTGCAAAGAATGAACACCTTATCAGCTATGAAGTGTTAAAGTAGGGAAATTGGTTATTCCCCTTCCCTGAAAGCTCCTTTCTTTGAAAACAAAATCTGTTTTCCTGATGGGTTGATGGTAGGATACTTCCAAGGGAGAGACTGATACTTTCCTGCAGGAATCATGATGCTGGTGTTCCCACATCTGCTAAAGTAATTGGCGACAAGCTACTTAAACCAATGCTGTATGCAGTCTAGCATATTTTATCAGTTTACTCTGTGGAATGAAATATTGCAGTGAAATACTCTATACAGACAAAGAGTACAGTGCTTTCACTATTCTTTGGCATCATACCCCATTCCATCTGTAGCTCCAGTCGTATTAACTGAGAAGGGGAGGTGCTCCTACAAAGCAGAAAAATTTTGCTCTTACTCTTCTCTTACTCTTTGTTTCCTTGTCTGTGGTTAATTTATTTTTGACCTTGTTCTCTTTTCCCTTCCTTTTCCTCTTCCCCTGCTTCCCAGGTGATGCAGTTTGGAAGAATTGATGGCAATGCTTACATTTTGGACTTTCAGTATCCATTTTCTGCAGTGCAAGCCTTTGCTGTTGCTCTGGCTAATGTGACTCAACGCCTCAAATGAAAAAGCAGAGACTGGAGAGAGGAAAATGTTGACCTTCTCATAAAGTCCAAACCGGAAAATGTCAGGGCAGCCTGCTTTAGGTGTGCAGAGATGCCTGGGAGTTAAGAAGGCAGTAAAACTGGAAAAGTCTTTTGGTGCCCACCAGAAGGGCATTAACTCTAATCAGTCACGGGGTGGAGGGTGGGGGGCTGTTTTCTGTTTGTTTGTTTGTTTGTTAGCTTGTTTGTTTTCTGGTTTCTTTTTCTTTTCAAGCGTTGTGCTGGGTCTCAGAAAGAGCGAAGGGTTGAGAACCATTCAGTGTTACGTGGAAAAGTGTGGCTTTTGGCTTGTTGTGGTGGTTCTGCTGTGTGTGCTACAGTAGCTGATGTAAGCTCATGGGGGAATTAAAACAGACTGCTCTTTTTGATAGACTGCCTTATCTCATGCTGTTCTTTTTAAAACAGGGAACATGACTTTTTTCTAGTCCAATTTGTACTTCTACTACTAAAACATCAGTGATGGCAGCAAAAAAGTAAAAAAAGAAAAGAAGCTATAATACTTGAAGACATGTGTTTCTTCTCTGATATTTGCCAATAACTGAGCACCACAGGTTCCAAGGAGGCTTTTGTAGGTAAACATTTAATTTTTAAACAGTGATGTGTTACTCAGAAGAGAAGAAATGGTTCCAGCAGGTGTTTGTCATGGTTTAGGAGTGGTATTCTCCAATTTAATCTTTCCACTGAAACACTTCAAACCATGCACCACTTGCTCACTGTCCCCTCCCCTTTTCCCTTCCCTGAGGTAGGATGGAGAGGAGAATTGGAGGCACAAAAGGTAAAGATCACAGGTAGAGAGAAGAACAACTTACTGCAAACAGCAGTGAAATAAGGAAACAAACAGTAACAGCAGCGATGTTAATAACAGAGTGCATGAGAGGCGAAGGATTCACACGCGTGTGCTCACCACAGGGGAGCCTCTGCCAATACCTGACTGTGTTGCCTCACTATGGGACCCCTTCCCATGGCCCCAGAAAATAGTCGCAGGTGGTATAGAATAACCTCTGGGTTCTAGCCATGCCCTCTCCTTGCTACTGCAAAAATTAACTCTGTCCTGAGTAGAACCAGGGTTTAAAAACCCACTTTATCAAAGAAGTTGATGTCTGCTTGTTTTGTGTGCTGTTAAGGAGGATAAACATCTTCCAGTAGGTGACAGAAAACTGGAGAGGAAATAATCATGAGCGTTGCTTTTTTGTTCACATTGTTCAGCAGTATTCTATGATTTGGCCTGTGGCTATGAGAGGTACAGTGTGATCGGATGTACCTCTGAGGCTGTGCCTGTGCTTGCTCCTCATTTCAGTGTGTTTATACCACATAAACAAAGCTTTTCCAGCAAACATAAGACCCAGTGTATTCAGTCCTCTTAGCAATCAGTATCAATCAAGTTCTACAGCAGTGCTTGAATTAGGAGGGAGACAGAAGTGTAGCAAGTCATTACAAGAAGAAATTTCATCAGGGAAGCAAATTCATTGCAGGAAACAGCATCATTGCTGGCTGGAGGACAAATGAGTTGAAAGAGAAGGGAAAAATTGGTCAGAATTATGTCTTTTGTCACCCACCTTGCTACTTGCTGCAGCTAAGAGCAGGAAGCCAGTGTCTACATGGAGTGTGACAGATGAAATCTTAATACCAGTAGTATGACTCTGCAGTTCTCTCTGGTGCATATGTGGACATGTTGAGCATTTCACAAGGTTGCTTGCACAGAACAGTTTCTTTGTTGTCCGTGTGTTGTGCACATGTTTACTTTTTCGTCCTTGTCAGCAGTTTGCTACAGAATATGTTTTGATATGGAAGTAGTTTGACTGGTAATATACAAACCCCCAAACTATTAATATAATTATTTGGACATTAGATTACAAAAAATCATAGCAGATTTTTGTAAAAATCGATCTTTTGAAGTTAAAGGCCCGCTGGGAAAGATTTGCTGGTTGAGATGTCAACAGCTACTTTGTCTTTCGTCCACGGTTTGGCCTTTTTACTAGAAAAAATCTGTATAACTTAAGATGAATGCGTGTGATTTTCTGTCTTTGTTTTTCTTGAGTCCTAGTAGTAGGGCTACAAATGCGTGTTGCATTTGATTTATTCTAGAGGAACATTTCACATAAGACCCTGCTGTAGTAGAAATTACCAATATGCAGTGAGCTTTTAACTTGTGCCCTGCTGAGGTTTCCAGAGCTGGACAGCACACAGGAGCAATGCCAGTAGAGAAGTTTCAGCGAATTGCCAAGGGATAGATCGGATAATGCTCCACAGGTTAGGTCCAGGAAAAACTGCCTGTGAGATGGTGTTGTTGGAGGGAGGAAGGAGAAGTAGGAAGGAAGGAGTGGGGCAGTAGATAGTACCATGCCTGTATTATCCCAAAGCTTTGCAGCTTCTGCTTGTGTGTGGGAGTGGTCAGGCTCAACATTACCCTTGGCATCTATCAGATTGTTGTTTTCTTTAATTAATTAGTTTTGTTTCCTTTAATTGTCTGGGCCCACTTGTCTTCTTTTTCATGTGCTTCATTTATTCAGCAGTTAGATTGCCTGTATGTATAATGTGTGTGGAGCACTGGAACTGAAATAGATTTGGTTCTGGTCCCTTCAAAATCGATGGAAATGTTTCACTTGCTGATTTTTTATTGAGGAAACACTATTAAGTTCTTTGTCTGTATTGAGTTATATACTGTAAAAACAGGAGGTTGAATTCTTAGTCCACTGATTCCAGTACACGAGGAGGGAAGTTGGCCGATGAGAAGCCTCACCTACCCTAAGGTCTGTGCTAATCAGCTGTACCCTAATTAGTGTTTGACAGGCACACAGTGAACGCTGTAAGACAAGAAACATACCAGGGCTGGCTTGTTTGCTTGCTGAGGGAAGGGCCACTTAGTCATATGTCAGAAATACTCAGCTGGAAGAACATCACCAGCCAAAATTATTAGGATGTGGAAACAATGTGAATGTTATTCTCTGAAGAAAACCTAATCTGAATAAGGACTTCTGCTTGCAGTTTCTTTAACCTTCCAGGGAAGAGTATTCCAGTTCATTTTGTTCATTGCCAAATTTTGCCCGTTACCAGTAGTTTTATTCTAATGGAGAACCAAGAATTGAAACCAACAAAACAAGTAACAGAGTTAGTTATTTGGTTTCATTGGTCCAGGTCATGACTGCATCCTTCTGATGGCACTCACAAAGAGCCTTGGCATAGAAAGAGCTCTGGTTTCTGCCCCAGCAAAGAACAAGGGATAATTACCAAAAAATTGGGAAAATAAATGCTATTTCCAACATACTTTCCATTTACTTGTCAGAAAATTCTATAAGATAAGGTAGTCTTTTATCTTTTTGAAAATAATTTAACCGAGTCTCTTTAATTAAATATTTTAATATGTAGAGAATCCCCAATATTAGAGAGAGAAAATGCTCTGAAATATATAGAATTTTAATGAAAGGAATGGTCAATACATAGAAATCTGAGTGTGCAACTGGATCCTAAATTATAAAAAGAACAAGTGAAAGTCATTTTATTTTCATTTGAGATACAATATAGGAAACAAATGTAAGAATATCCCCACTTATTCACTTTAATTGTGAAGACTGCTATTGTATTAAGCCAAAAGATCGATGTTATATTTTCTATTTTGTTAGTAAAACCCAATTTTTCTCTAGGTAACTTAAGTACTTCTAGGAAGAATGTAGGAAAGTGTTCAGAAATATCTAGTTCTTTTATACATGCAGTAATTTCTATTAAAAAGGATGTTACGGATGTTTTTTTCCAAAACTTTTTTTTCTTCAGTTGTGCAATAATTTTAACAGTCTAGGGAGTTTGTTTTGTTTCTGTTGGGTTGTTTTTTTGTTTTGTTTTATTTAGGGTTTGATTTTTCTGTAGGGAGTTTTGAGTGGTTTTTTGAAGATTATTTAATGTAGAGTTCCTGTTAATGTCCAAAAACCATTTTTTTTTTTTTTTGCATAATGTAATGAGTGATTTAGGGATTATTTTTTTATTATGTATCAGTGAGTTATACACACTTATTTATATTTAAAGACCATCTTTGTAAGCAATTTTTTGCTAACAGTTATATTTTGCTGCAAGAAATTAAAAATGCTTATAGGAAGACCTGGTTTTGCTGGATAATATGTAAAAAATTCATAATGCAGGCAAAAATATTTTTTGGCAGCTAAACACAATGAGTTTGCAATGGAGAACTGTGCGGACTACAAGGAGTCTAGGTGAGTTCTTTGGCACCTGCAGAAATCTGTCCTCTGTTTTCTTCCTCTATTTGTAACTATACTCTGGTTGGGAGTAGCTTAAAAAGTAGAAGGCATGGTTTGCTTTTTCTTGAGGTACAAGATAAGGTGGGTTACATGATAAGAGAGGGTGTAATGACACAGGCTGCTTGTAAAAGAGGTCACTGTAGTTTAGTAGGATTTGGCAATGGCATCATTTTATGCCAGGTGGAGGTACAGGCAAACTAGCTTGGAGTAAGCTGAGCACAAGGAATAGTGTAGCAGTTTCCTCTGAAGCATTTTCCTCTGCTCAGCCTAAAAGTGCTCCTTCTGCAGCTGAGCTCAGCTGGTTCCAGCACTGCCACAGTGCTTCTGGCAGGTGCTGCATGGAGCTCATGGAGCTGTGCCCTGATGTTGCCTGCAGCAGCTTTGCCTCTTCAAGATGCTCCACAGGAGACCTGTTGGAGCAGGTGTTCCTCCAGTCATCCTTCTAGGTCTGCTCCAAGAACAGCATGAAGCTGCCATGGATTTTGGCTGCAGCAGCTTTGAGCAGAGAGAGCCCTGATGCCAGCCAGCAGCCACGGTGTCCATCAGAAGTCAGAATCTGCTATGCTGGAGTTGCAAAGGGATTAAACCAAAAACCTGATAATTTTGAAAAAATAGTGGTGATATCCTCAGAATATTATTATCTACTTAAAGTCTGGCATAAATGGAGTAGCAAAATTTAGCTTTAAACAGTAAGAATACAGATTTCTGCAATACTATGAGAAGGTGGGGGGTAACAAAGGAAAGAAAAAGGAATGATCACATTAGCAATTTTGCACTCAGTTCCAGAGACCAAGGTAGCATGTGCCATGGGCTGCCTGAATATCAGTAAATCTGCACACAGGTTTATCTCAGTTACAAAAGTTTCCTGTGATGCAGCCACAAGTAAAACAGTGATTTTATGAAGATGCATGAAGGTCTACATGTGTCAGACAAGGATACCAAACTTTGCTGAAGCCTTCAGCCTAAACTTTCCATAGATCCAGGCTTTCCTTGGAGTGTCTTTTTAGTGTCCTCTCAGAAATTACAGATTTTGGAGCTTGCCTGATTGTTGCCTCAGACAATTTCTGTGCATTTGCTTTTTGCAGCCTGATGTGTGTGATCCTATGTTACCTTGGTGCCCTCTTACCTCCCAGAAACATTTTACATCCTCATATAAAAAGAGCAGCAAGTGCAAAAACTGATTTGATTAAATGAAAGGGGAGAGAAGACACAGTAAATTTTCATTGAGTTTTAAGAATGTGTTTCCCAGGCAGCAGTTAGGAATTGCATGTCTGCAGGGCCCAAATTACTCCAGACCAGTAAATCAGACTTAGAGATTGGTAAGAGATGAGACCCTTGTGTGGCATGCTGACAGAGGGCCAACTTCCAGCCTCACTACATGGTTACACCAAGATACATAAGAGACCAGAATGCAATCCAAAAGGTACTTCCCTGTTACTGTGTGATTATAAGGTAAAAATGACTTGTATGACCCATATATATCCACCCAAGGAAATTATAGGGCATTAGCCAATAGCTGTGTTGACAGCTCAGTATAACCCCCCCTTGAAGAATGCTAGAAGTAAAATCCTGGCCACAGAATAGTCATTCAGATTTTTGACTTTTATTCCTGGACAGGACAGGAGGGCAAGTTAAGGATGTTATTCAGAGATTGGCATAATAGTTTTCCCAGTGTAAGAGACCAAGTCACCTATACTGCTTACAAAAGTGGGAAAATTCTAGTAGACAAATTGTTTTTTGTGTTCATGTCTCTTCCCCTTCAAGGCACAAACCTTCATTAGTAAATACCAATTTAGAGTCTTGCTGTCCTTGGGAGTAGTCTGCAGGGAGGCACCAGAGGTCCTCTTTACAGGATTGGAATTTACACGCACCGTTCTCAAAGGAATAAAATTAATTACTACTTGTGAACAATGGTCTATATGAATTATTTTGTCTTTGTATTTATTTAATTTTCTTCTTAAGAAGCCCTACAGAGATGTTTTTAAGATTGAAGGACTGCTTTCCCTATTGCCTGATATTACTGAAGATATATCAGGAGTTTCTTTGGGCAGTTTGATTGTTGCTGCATCTAGAAAAGTGTTCAGGCAGAAGCAATTAATGAAACAAAAGAATGAAATAAGATTCAGTGAAGCAATTCTTGCTAAGAAAATGAAAAGCTTTACCCTTTAACTTTCGATTCTGCAAATGAATAGGTAATGAGAAATTTTTGTTTCAAGTCAAGTTGATTGTTTGGGAGCACAATGCAAGTGCACTGGTTTGCTGTCATAGAGCTGACTGCAGGATCAAGAAAACATAATTTTGTGAGACGAAATTAAATAAATGAAAACACCAAATACTTACCTATCCAGAATGTTCAATGAAAGTTTAGAGGTGTGATGTCAAAGCCTGCCAGTCTGTTCTTAATCCTCTGGTTTACAGTTTTAAAATGTGGACTGATTCAGCAATTCTAAATCCTGACAAAGGTTGTCTATTTTTTTTAAATTTTATCTGAATGGCCAAGTAGATGGCATAAGATACAGATAAAGATTAAAGTAATAATGAAAGAGAAGCATTTTGGAACAGTTTGTAGACACCTGAGTTTCAAGTATTTCACATAAATAATGCTCGGCCAGTAATTCTTACCTATGTTGTTTGAAGCTATTTGTTCAGAACTTTTCTAACTTGCCCTTTGTTTTTTTTTAGTTTGCTAGATACTTGATTTGCCTTTGATTGTTTTTCATTTCTGTTTCACTATTTCAGCATTTGCTGCTTCTTTTTCTGTTTGTGTGTTGTGTGTTTGGGGAAGGGTCTGTTCAAGATCTCGTTGTTTATTGTAGATAAAATATATGGTGTTGTGGAATAGCATGGGGATGCATTCGACTGAAAAGGCACTGTAGTGTTTCCTGAAAAAGAAGGGGAGTTGCATTTGTTTATAAATGCATTATTTTGGTACTATAACTTTAAAAGTGATTTGGGATTTTTTTACTTCTTTTTTTTTGTTTAGTTTGTTTTTTTTAATTTTTCTTTTAAATTTAATGAGCATAGAGTCATGCAGGTGCATGCATTCTTAAGTGAGCAAGCCCAGCATGTTTTTCTTAAGGCTTTTGAAAATTTGGTACACCATTTGTGAACTTTACCTACCTAGACTATTTTTAATTATATTTTTTTGAATCTCCTTTTTTTTTAATCCTGACTATACCATGTTATACTTAGTTTCCATTGTACTTAAAAACTACCCTGATTTGCCTCTCCTTTTATGTATCTTGTGAAACAGATGTTGCAGGAGGTGCCTAGAAAGTATTGTTGGCCCTATAAAAGTGTGGTTTGTCCAGATTCTTTACTGTCTACATGATTGAGAGATGGACTGATTGCCCTATTTTTCCTTGATGATTTGGAGTTGTAAGAGTTGTCCAGCTGTTGCTTAATAAAATTTTGCAGACTAGAAAGTTGCTGATTTGTTTCTGTTGCATTCTGCATCTTGTCAAGCACCAAAATAGTTTTAAAGTAGATGATAACTCTGTGCTGGAACAACCTGAATCATAACCAGCCAGATGCCATTACACTTCCTCTTTTCAGGAACCGTACCCACAAATTACACTGAATGTGGTGTGTGTACCAGCCCCATCATAACTTGTGTTGTTCATGTGAGAAGATGGATGGCAAAGTTTTTCTGGTGGTTATGTTCCTGTGTGCCTGGATATCAGCTGGTTCTTGTGATATTTCTACCATGCTTCCTTTCCTTTCTGAAATTACCTTTAGGGTTTGTGGTACTTCCCATCCTGTCATTGATAAACTGAAAACCTTAATGTCACCAGAAGGGATTTTCTCTGTCCTGTCATCTGTAACAACAAATGCTCTGGTGGCCAGTGTTTATTCTCTGGTTTCTTTAAAAAAATAATTTTGGGAACAAAGAAAATGAATAAAAAGGTAGCAAAGTAGCTTATCTTGCCCGATAAACATCCCAGCTATGGCAATGAGAAATGAGAAAATCCTAGCATGGATCCTCATAATGGACCCAGGTTACGATTGGAGTTTTGCAGGGGTCTGTGCTGGATCCTCACCTCTACACCATATTCAGGGGTGGCCTAGAAAAAGTTTGAACATTGTGCTGCAAAGTTTATCGATGATGTGAATTACTCAAAATAGTAAAGGCAATGGCCAATTGTCAAGAATCTCAGAAAGTCTTCATGAAACTTAACAATGAAATGGCGGATGAAACGCAGCATAGGTAAATGTGAAGTGATACATGAGGGGAAAAACCAATCCTAACTTCACATTTGCAATAGTGATCTCTGTTACTCAGGGGAAACCTTTTGACAGAATGATAGTGCTCTGAAAACATCAGGTTGGTGCCCAGCAGCAGTCAAAAGAGGAAACTAAAATATTGGTAATGATTGGGAAAAGAGCTGACAGCAAAGCAAAAGATCGCTGTATGAAATTGCAGTTCATTGCAAGTACTGTGCAGTGCTGGTCCTATTGTCACAGAAAAGAGGAGAGATCTAGAGAAGATGAGAAGATTCACAGAAGTGCAGCAGAAGGCACAAATCAACATCTACATGAGGAGTTAGTGTGAAGTCTAGAACCCTTCACCCTGGAAAAGAAACAGCTTAAAGGAATTGCTAGAGAACCACCAGAACAGTGGAGTAGTGTTGAAAGGTGGATAGGGATTTACCTGTTGTTTCTTCCTGCAGAAAAACTAGGAACTGTAAAATGAAAATAAAGTGAAATACTAGAGGGGAAGAAAAGCAAACAAAAGGAAGAAGTTCTTCAAGGAGGTGACTAGTCAAAGCCACTTTGCCAAAGGATGCTGTGATATAAGGAGTTCACAAGAATTCAAAGACTGGGAAAGTATATGAATGAGAGATCCATTGGAGCATGAAGCAAACTACCATTGGAGTTAAAAGTTCCTTAAGCTAAGAATAGTCAGATGTTGGGAGAATATTATGGGAAATACCATGTGAATTTGCTCTGTTGTCATTCTTTCCAAGGACTCTGCAAATGGCAATTGTAGGAGACAAAACACTGGGCTTTACTGGAATTTCAATGGATGAGTGTCACTGTACATCAGCCTTTCTAAAGCAGGCCTAAACCTGGAGTGCCAAGCTCTGGGGAGAGGAGAAAAATAAGACTCCCAACCTCATGCCTGAATGCTTTGCACTGCAGCTGTGAAAAGTCCTCTTCTAGCTCAGAGGAGGAGTGCTGGGGCCCTGCCAGTGTTCATTAAATTTTCCTTAGCTCAGCTGAGGCATATACTAGGGTTATCTGATGAGTTTTCAGAACAAACTGAACTTGTACTAAAATGCAGAAATTATGAAAATAATTGTTAAGTTTGGAGACAGAGAAATGTAACAGAAATACAGCTTCTGGCCATGGCACTCTGCTTTGGCCTTTTGTTTTTTTTTGCTTTGGCTATAGTGCCAGTGTTTACCTGAATTAGTATCTGGCCAGCTGAGCTGAGCTGATATCACAGTTTCCTTATAGATCAAGGTTCCAGAAGTTTTCTGATTTTTCCTTCTTTGTGAAGGATATTGACTTAAAATACAGTCATCTTCTGCTTCCCTGCCCTTTTTGTGTTAATTTGGGGGTGTTCTGGCAGCTACAGCACTGGTAAGTGATTCAGTCACGGTAACAATCTCTATCTGCTTTGCTTAAGGAAACTGAGCAAGTGCAGTTTGGTTTGTTGTTCCAGAAGGTCAGTTCTGGAATGCCTCTTTCTGCTGGGTGCAATCAGCTAAATTAACACATGTTGTCACTTGCAGTTTGTAAATAAACATCAGACTTGTTGCATCACCTTCTCCACTTGTTGGAACAGAAATGTGAATAAAATAACACAATCTGTAACTGGGTCTGGAGAGAGAAGGAACATGAAAGGAGGCAAACAGATCTGGGGAAGTGGTTATTGTGAAGAGCTATTGAAACATGCCAGTCTGGAAACAGCAGGTGATGCAAATGCAAAATTTATCAGTAACAGGGGCTGTAGCAAACAAATAAAAATACAGACCTTTAGGAAAATATCCTAAGAAGGTTCCTTTGATTGTTTTCTTGCCCTGTAGTGGGACTAATAGCGTTTACTTATTTATATATATTATTGTGGTGGTTGTTGCTAATAAATAATACAATCTTGTTTTTATGATTTGAGTGAACAAAAGGGTGATTTATGCCTACTGCTGCCTGTTGTAGAGATCAGGATGTGCAGGCACTGAGGGAACAATATTTAATCTGGGGCTTTTAAAAGACAATCAGTTAATACAGCAACTATACATATAATTAAGTTTGTATATACAATTTAATAATTACTGTCTAGATCATAAACTTTTTCACCAAGACAGGTTATTGCTGTTGATGTTCTCTCAGCAGTAACATATTCCATTTTATATTGGCATTCTTACCAAAATAACTATCAATAATAAAATAGCAATCTTTATTTACTGCTAATTTTTTCAAAAGCAGCCCAGCTTTCATTATGCAATTTTAATGGCATAGGAAGCCAAGTAATTGCCTAGTTGTGAGAGTAGTACAAGATCAGAAAAAAAACCAACCTGGAGCACTTCATACCAGTCACAATTCATCTCAGACCTTTCATCTTGCTCCTATCCATTATAGATGTCTATTGCATATCCTAATTTTCTGTTTTGTTTATAACTGACAAATTTCAAATCTTTGTTAGATCAAAGGGAAATCTGTTCATCTGGGGGAATGTTTTGCTTTGTTGTGTCTCCTGATACTTTTATCCTTTCCAGCTGTTCCACATTTTCTTCCATTTATCACTTCCCCATGGATAAGGAGGAAAGTTAGATTTGAACTCTAGGAAGTAACATTTCTTTGTCCTCCTTTCTTATTGCTCTCTGTGGCAATAGTCCTTGCTCTTAAAACAAGAGTTAGTCATTCCCTTTGTTGCAGTTTTTGTGAGACTAATATCTTCCTTTTTCTTTCAAAGCCATTTAGTTATTTTTAACATTTTTGGATTCTGAAATAATGTTTCTTTTAGAGAAGAGTCTGTATAAGGCAGTTATAGCCAAAGGAAGATGCTACAGGTGATTTAAATGTCATTGAGTTTTCTAACTGCCTTATGGAGAGGCAGCCAAATGCAGAGTCTCATCTGCAGAAGTCATGTAACTCTGATTTGACTTTTAAGTGACTTCTCTGTCTCATTTATGATTTTTCTAATGAGGGAAGCATCCTTGTTTTTATCAGATCTATGAACATACCTTAGGATTTTTGTACTTGAGCTGATGTGGCAGCTAGTGTTGTCTGATGTGGCAAACAGCATATGTTGTCACTTGTAGTTTATAAATAAATTTCAAACTTGTTATGTAATTTTAACAGGTTTTATTTGTATGGCTTAGAGGGTCTCTAAAGCAAAGATTCGAGTTTTGTTTATAAACCCACTACTAGTATTGTTGTTTATATGATACTAATAATTTTATCTGAAGTTTAAACAATGCACAGATAAATTTTTGAATTTTAGTAGATTTGTGTCAAGAGAACACAAGTGTGAAAAGAGAGAAGACATCTTTCTAAAACCCACAGCACATATAAAATTCACATTGGGTGTTCTGCTATAAACTTCAGGAGTTCCTGATGCTGATAGTGTTCTCTCAGGCCATAAACTGAGAGAGCATCATCTGGAGAACTGTCAGAATCCACAATTAGATTCCACTTTTGGAGATTATGGAAAATTCAAGCAAGAGTAAAAATGGCACAGACTGAGACACTATCATCAAAAGCACTGCAGTTTGTGCGTGACAAAAAAGTTCTCCAAAGAGCAGGGCAGTAAATCTTGAGAAAGGAGAGGTATCTGGGAAGTCAGGGAAGATGTGGGATGGGGGACCAGTAGCATATGAGGCAAATGTCAAGTAAGGACAAAAAAACCTGAGTAGAAGCATGAGCATAAATCACTTGTATTCAGATATATCAATGCAAAATGCACAAAAATGGTCATTCATGACATCATCACTAGAAAGATAGTTGTCATTGAAGTTTTTTTCTTGTGGAAATTTTTACTGTATGAATATTAAATGTGGAAAGAATCAGAATACAGTGGTAGATGGTGAGAATGATGGCCTCAAGTCTAAATATTCTGAAATAGAAAATGTTGCATGCTAAGAGCAAGTCCCATTCCATAAGAAAATATCTTTATTTATTCAAAGATAATAAAAATTAACAACCTCATAGAAAGATTGCTGGCATCTCTAAAATTATAAGCAAGCCAATGAAGAAAATATCTTAGATGTGCATCTGGATAGGTCTGGAAGATTAAAACATGGAATTAATGAAGATAAATCAATATTCATGATGTGCCAAAAGCTGTTGCATTAATCTACTATGTGTGTATTCCTGAGTGCAAGACACAAAGTTGAAAACAATTTCATCAAAAGAAAAGATTATTAAAATTATTTTGACAACTGATGATGTCAAGTCATCAGTCTTTAAATTGGATCACTACAT